TGATTTTTGATGATATAAGGGAAAAATAAAAGTGACATTCTTTTTACTCAATATAGCGAATAAAATCCTGCAAATAAAAATATATTTTGCCGGTAAGGCAAAAAAGATTAGTTTGGTTTGGTGGTAAAATTGGGAGGAAGAAAAGAGATAGGAGGAATGATCTGGATGAAGTTGATATGTTTGAAGGTGGGGGTGGTAGCTGTTGTATCAGATCTATCTATAACCATCCATCTAACTCTTTATCTCTCTTCTCTGCTATCTGGTTGTTTAATGAGCACTATGATTCCGATGATTTATTAATGTTTATAATCCACGATCACATAGGTAGAACAAACTCGCTTAAAGTAAGCCAATTGCGAGAGGCTTAGTGGGATTTCTTAGCAACACTACATGATGGTGTGTGTTCTTTTTACTGGTCGGGCTTGTACTATTTAAAATCCTGGTTCGATTTCAGGGTAAAAATAGCAAATAACAACTTACAAGATAAAAAAACATAGATCTAAATTGAATGATAAATCGATGAATTGATACATCATAAAATTAATAATTCTTGTTTTGGGATATAACCACCCCTAAACCAAGCCAACCATTTAAAACCACGCAGGTAGAGAAAAGATAGAAATCCAAGCGCCAGATACAACTGGTGTATATAAAGGTATTCTAAGAAGGCATTAATGAAACAATAATACATCATTAAATCATAATATTTTGTTTGCTAGTTGTCATTTGTCATGTAAAAAGGTCGGCAATAATATAAAACTGATTTTATAAGTAAAATCCCAAACTGTAAAAATCCCAAATGAATGTTAACCAATGTTGGGATTGGAAGAAATGGGATTAGGATGAGGACTAGGAAGTTGGAATAGGTTAGACAGGGATAAATTGGGAATAGATAAAATAGGTTGGGAATTGGGATGGAATTCAATGAATGTGAGGATGATAAAAGGTTTGGTAAATCGGAAGTTGGAGTGATTGGGAAGATTGAGTAATGAATAGATGTTCTAAGGGGACCACAGTATTGGAAAGAGAATCAGCAAGATATAGAAGTTCAGAACAGAGATACAGATATAATAAAATACGTGTAAAAGACTATGGAGAATATGTAGTTTAGTGGGTACAAATGTCAATAAGGGGTGAAGACGACATTTTGGAAGGAATTAGCGGATCACTGTTAAGTTGGGATAAGAGAGAGAAAAGAGTATAAAAATCATCATTAGAATCATTCAATACTCTGAAACAATATACATTTTCTGGGGGAGAACATTTGATTTTGAAAAGTGGGTTGAAGAAAAATTATGCAGTTTACATCCCCGAATACACGTAATACCCTAATTGAGAGCACAACTAAGCTAAATTAACGCTCAACGATGTTCCTGGTGGTGCGAATTACTTTCCGCAAAAATATTTTCCGTGTTTCTTTAAAAAATGTTCAGTTTTTAAGTATTTCCGCTAATTTGAGTGTCCAATATGCATTTTCAGGTAGGTGAAAATTAACTTTAAGGTCAGGAATAATATAGTCAACTGGGTTTTAACTTTTTAAAATTTAAAAATGAAGTTTTAGAAGACAATTCCAATTTAAAAAAATTACCCGCTCAAGTTTACAATCATTGTAAAGTAGATTGAATTCCTTTTGCAGTTTACTAGTAATACAATGTTGTAGTGTATGACCGCTATATCATGTGGAGAACTGTATGACACGGTATACACCCAGGATATGCGCCGTAAGACCTACCACTACCATGTCAACACCCCCACCGCAGCACCAAACATTGCTCTGGTCGTCGGACCTTTCCAGATCTACGTTGATCCAAATATGCACGAAGTGACCCATTTCTGTCTCCCCCACCTACTTCCGGTCCTGAAATCCACTGTCAGGCTTCTACACGAGGGGTTCGAGTACTTCGAGACCATCCTGGGAACACAGTTCCCCTTCTCCAACTACAAGCAGGTGTTTGTCGACGAGGTGTACCCCACGATGAACAGCTACTCCTCCTTAACTATCTTCAATACAAACATTCTTCATCCGACAGCTGTTATTGATCAGCAGTATGAAACCAGGAATCAATCATTAATACAAATGAATTTTAAAAAGATCTAAAATCTAATATTTCATTTTATTTCGCCAGTTTTATCAAGTTGTCTTCTTCCTTCTTATTGATTGATTGAATAGGAAAGTTTTAACTGAGGCACTAGCCACACAATTCTTTGGTACATATGTTAGCACGGAGAAATGGTCGGACAGGTGGATTAAAAAAGGTGAATGGTGAAATGCCTGGAGATTTTAATCTGATTAAATCTTAAATTTGACAGCAAAATGTTTTTGTTCACGGGTCAATCCACAGGGTTTTAGAAGAGATTCTATGCATAGAACAGTAAGTATTAGTAAAATAATTTAAACTTATTATTTTTTATCAAGGTATACCAAAGTATTTGATGAGTTTGTGGGTGAAGAAAACATTTGGAAACAACGAGTACAGAGACATGATTCATCAGGTAGGTACTTATTTACTATTTAAAGGGACTGCAAATGTAATTTTAAGTGACTCTCAAGAAAGCATCGATAGAATTAAAGGGTAATGTTGATCCGCTATACTGCACATCCGACCTACTGCAACATCCGACCTACGACAGCTGTTTATTTTTTATTATTTGAGGGTTAGGTTAGATTAAGAGAATTTCTGGGCCGAGTGCTGCGGCTAGGACGGGCTAGGGGGCGAGCGCCGCGGCTAGGAAAGGGTAGGGGGCCAAAAAAGTTTTCCTAGAAGGGGGTGGAATTGATTTTTAGGAAAATAAACACCCCTTCATTAAAGTAATGAGATATGCTGGATATGTTGCTTAGTACATAAAATATTCGATTCAATTCAAGAGATATGTTGTTAATTACATGAAAAACAATCTGAGCTGAAAACTTTAGAATGGTGGATATCGGGATTAATGCTTAATCCACTCTTTTTCTTAATCTCGAGATTAAATATTGCTTGTTCTCCTCTCATTTTTAATCTCCATATTAATTATCCGATCAGGATTAAGGATATCCCATTCTAAAGTTTTCAGCTCTGATCATATATTTTACTATGTACTTTGCTGATGTTGACAAACAAACATGGCGATCCTTCCCTTATGTCCTTTATGTTGAATCCCCATCGGAAGTTACAATACTTCCTACGCTACTACAACGGTCAAGTCTACAAAAGCATGTCAGAAGGCTAAATAATAATCTGTTTAGTACATGAACGACGTTGTAGCATATGAGAGTAAATATGGTGGTATAATACTAGACTCCAGCCAGGCTCCTGCCAGTGTAGTCACCATTAAGGGAGAATCTTCTAAAAACCCCGAGGTAGAAATAATTCCATATTATTTATTCATACTTCAGCAGATCAATAATTCCATTTTCGTCGTTGATGGAACACGAACTTGATGTTTGGTTTTAGACGTACAGGGTTACCCACAAAGGCTGAGACTTCAGAGACGACTGAACGGAATTTATATTGTCTGTTTCCTTATACATATTTATTCCCTACAACTAAAACCTTGCATCTTTGTTTTGCTCAATCTTCAAAAAGGCTATATCATCATCTATGGTTGAAGATTTGATTCAACCATGATACCATCATATTATAAGAGTTTCAGGTCGTCTTTACAGTCTCATCCTATGTGGGTAACCCTGTAATAATAAGATTTGAATAACTAATTGAATAACTTATTACAAACCATTAACCTTATAAGAACTCCAGTTTCCTACGATTAATTTTATTATTACTGAGGTTAGAACTTCTAAACAGACATCTTTATCTTTTTATATCCTGTGTCACTGGTCTGAATCCAGCAGGGATAGCAAATATTAAGGGATCAAGCAGATGCCCCTTAGATTTAAACAAATCTAAAAAGTAGATTTCAAGATCAAACGTTGCAGATATGCACTATCTCACATATTAGTTTCAAACTCTGATATAACTCTGATTATTATGTAGGTTGAGGCTAACCCGTTCTGTTTCCCTGTGAGTAACCTGCACACCTGCTCCCCCGAGTACCTGGAAATCATGGAGAAAAAGTCCCATCTTGTCATTAGGATGATGGAACACAGGTGCTTCGAGAAGGGTTTAATCATGTAAATTGATTGACGACATTTAAATCATTCTTGATTTAATGTATGTTTCTTGGCAGAATACGGTTTTTACTAATGACGTACTGACAATTGTTTAGCCGCTAGATGTCTTACGTTAAATTTTCATCTGATAAATTGAAATTATGACGTGCATTGTCAAGGACGTCCCCTTGTCGACCATTTGTTGTTTTTACAAGAAATCTTCTCATACTCGAGTGAAATCCTTTAATTTGAAAAGTGTCTCTGAATTCACAAAGTTGATCAATTTTTGTTTCAGGTTGGGTCAGCAGCAACTTCTCCAGGTGCTAAACAAACTACTAGCTCTAGCATCCAATGCTCGTCAAACTAAAGCTGACCCTAGAGCTTGGAGCAATATGGTCTGGAACACAAACACGTTCACCAAATCTATATTCTCCGTGACCGGGAAGGATATGACGGTGTTTGTTGACCAATGGGTGCGAATGGGCGGTCACGCTAAGTTTGTGCTCAAGTTTGTTTTCAATCGAAAACGAAACACGGTGGAGCTGGAGATAAACCAGGACGCGGCAAACAATATGGAGCAGGGGGTTAGAAAGTACGTTGGACCGGTCAAGATTGCTCTGCAAGAGTTAGATGGACAATTTCCACATACTTTTCAGGTTCTTTTTTTTATAAATATCAAGAAAATGTCGTTAAATTATTTTATTTGTTTGTTTTTGTTTGTTTTCCTGTTCATCGGTGTTAAAATGAATTTGGTTTAGGTAGAACGAGTTAATAGTAAACATGATATCACATGTCACAGTAAATCCAGGAGAAACAAGAAGAAGAAGATCCCTCTCGTCAACAACGAGGAAGTCGACATGGACCTCTCACAGATGGACGACAGTCCGGTTCTCTGGATCCGGCTGGATCCTGATTTTACACTCATCCGGAGCGTCGAGATTGTACAACCGGATTTCCAATGGCAATATCAGCTAAGGTAATTTAAAGAGACTGTAAGTGTAATTTCTAGTGACCCTCAATGCAAAGATCGCGCTGCCTGATTCACAACGGTACCCTTAAAAGATTTGTCTGATAAAGTATGAACTAGATGTCAATGTTTTTGTTTATTTAAACTGTTTATTTTCATTTACGGGGTCTCTACGAAAGTGACTTGCGCATTTCTTGCTTATAAGAAGCAATGGAGAAATTATCAAAATTAAGCCCTTCGAGTCAGAAAAACGTTGGTATCTTCAGCTTATTTGTTCAGATTAATGTTGTAAATATGGCACGAGCATTGCATCCTTGCAGGAAGGGTCACCTGTAAGATGAATATTTTGTCTTGTTATTTTTATTAATTATTTTTAGACACGAGCGTGATGTAACGGCACAGACCGAAGCAGTTAATGCTCTTGAATTCTTTCCTTCTCCAACTACGCGCGCAGCTCTCACAGATACAATAAAAAACGAGCATTGCTACTACAAGGAAAGACATTCATAAATGAATTCATAAGAACTCTTCATTCTATAGACTATAGAAAATTGATAAAATTGCCACATAGTTCTGGTTGTCATCATCCATTTATAAAAATTATTATAGTCTTGACAAATAAAAATTAGAATAGAAAACTTCAAATCCACCAAAAGGAAATTACTAGCATTCTAAATTGATTATTTTAAAAGACTGTTAAAGATCTATCATAATTTTTTTACCCAAATCAAAAAAAAATTTATAAAACCGAAATGCATATTTTTTGTAAATTTATTTAATGAATCTGGCCCGGATAGGTCCGATGTCGAGCTACAAACTGCTTGACTAAGGTAGCGAACGCGATGGTGCAGACCTGGGACGGACCCCCGGCCATGATGTTGATCTTCAAGAACATGTTCGGCAGCTTCGCCGTCGGGCACATCATTAAACAGAATGATTTCAGCAACCTTCAGAATTATTTTTTACAGTGCGCTATACCTCAGGCTATGGCAGGGCTACGGTGAGAAATGTTTGATTTTTCAAACTCGCATTTGATATGTCTCTTCAATCGATTTGAATCTTTGTTTGATCAGGAACTCGCATTTTATATGTCTCTTTAATCAATCTGAATCTTGGTTTGGTGAACTTTATTTGATCCGTCTCTCTAATCGACTTAAATCAATTTATTTGATAAGGATCTCCCATAAGATCATTCTCTTTAATAGATTGAATCAACTTAATTGATCATGAACTTCCACTTAATCTGTCTCTTGGATTGATCTAAATTGATTTGTTTGATCAGGAACTCTCATTTGATCTGTCTTTTTTATTGATCTAAATCAATTTGTTTGATCTGACAATCCCATTTGATTTAACTCTTTAATCGATCTAAATCAATTTGCTTGATCAGGAACTCTCATTTGATCTGCCCGAATGAGGTGCTTGAGTTCCTGTTGAACCTATTCAAGTACAACGACAACAGTAAGAACTCCTTCAGTGATAACTATTATAGAGCTGCTCTTGTCACAGCACTTGGTAAATATTATTTTTCTCCCCCTTTTGAAAATATTATTTTCCCCGCTAGAAGATATATGTGCTAGCGCGGAGCGGACATTTTTGTTTAGATTTTCATTAGCTGAGACGGGGTAAATAAATGATTTTAATTGGAAATTCAATGAATTATTGGGTAAAAAGAATCAAGAAGAATGAAAAAAGTTGCTTTTTGATGCCCAACTTTTCATTCGTCCCCAGAAATCATCAAAAATCATCATACAACACTGTATTCAATCCATTATTGGCGAGATTGTATAGTTAAGGGAATGTTCTGAATGTTTTGCTAAGTGTGAGATACTAAAAAGTTTGCCTAGGCCCAGGCTTTTCAGGGTGCAAACAGTGATCTAGTTTATTTTGTTGGGACAAAAGGAGCCAAAAAAAGATTACTTTGAAAGAAAACAGAAAGGCCAAATAAGAAAAAAAATAATTTATGAAAAAAATTAAAAAAACATGTCAAAAAATAAAAAAAAGAAAAATGTCGGAAGAGAAAAAATAAAAACTACCAAAAGAAAAAAATAAATGTCCCTTATTTTTAATCTTGATTCACTGGATACTCGTAATTATTGAATATAATATACTTTTTATATTAATGTGATATATGCAACCTTATGAATATCATGACAAAAATCGGAAATTTTCTTATAGACTCCGCCAGGAGTCCTGAAAATAATCCTAACATAAACATAAACATAAACAGGGGTGTGTAGTAGTGGCCCGGAATCACTGAGTAAAACGTAGGGAATTAGGTTGGTGGGATACTTTTAAAAGGACTTCAAGGTGTAATTTCAAGTGATATAAATATTTATATAAAGATTGGTATGTCTGATTTACAATGGTACCATTTAAACCTCTATATTTAATATAAATTAGAAAGTTATCGTCGTTTTTCTTTCTTAAAACATGTTGAGTTCTGACACTTTCCATGCACTGTCTCTTTAGCTAGTCACTTAAATAGAAGAACCCATATTAAAAATGAACAGTTCTCGAGGAAAATCAGTATATCTCATATGGTAAGAATAAAGTTTGAATGGTAACGCTATGAATCGGACATGCCTCTAAAAGATTTTTTGTTTACAATTCATAAAACCAGGTGAGACTGTGACTCCCGTGGTCTCGATGTTGGCTCAGGAGGGTCCCATCACAAGTGAATCATTGGCTGAGGATTATCTATATCCAGGTTCTAGTAAGTGAGAATATGAAGGCTAGAGGTAGTGTATTCAATGATAATATATATATATATATCTGTATCCAGGTTCTAGTTAGTGAGAATATGAAGGCTAGGGGTAGTGTATTCAATGATAATATATATATATATATCTGTATCCAGGTTCTAGTTAGTTAGAATATGGAGGCTAGGGGTAGTGTATTCAATGATAATATATATATTTATATCTGTATCCAGGTTCTAGCTAGTGAGAATATGGAGGCTAGGGGTTGTGTATTCAATGATAATATATATATATTTATATCTGTATCCAGGTTCTAGTTAGTGAGAATATGAAGGCTAGGGGTAGTGTATTCAATGATAATATATATATATATTTATATCTGTATCCAGGTTCTAGTTAGTGAGAATATGAAGGCTAGGGGTAGTGTATTCAATGATAATATATATATATTTATATCTGTATCCAGGTTCTAGTAAGTGAGAATATGGAGGCTAGGGGAAGTGTATCCAATGAGAACAATATCCTACTGGACCCCGAGATACTAACCGATCATGTTACCCAGGTAAGATAAAGATCATGATTCAAGATCCAAAATGAATAATGCAAGGTTACCTATAAAGAATAAGATTGTAATGACGACCTGAAACTCCTTAAATCTAACGATTCCAAGGTTAAATTGTGTTGTATGGCTTATTTCATGATAAGGCAAAGAAAGAGACAAGGTGAAAGTTGCAGAAACTATAAATATAAGGAAACAGACAGTATCAATTCTGTAAAATCCTCTCAAGTCTCATGCTTTGTGGGTAACCCTGTAAAGCCGATAAAGTGTCACCCTCCTTCTCACTGCTCACTGCTTAGTGCATAGAATACAAAGCATTGTTTACAATCTGTGTTATCGTTTACAATAAACTGGTTCATGAGCTCTTCTAGTATGTTATTCGTTAACAAAAGAAACTCTAGTTTTTAACTTTTAAGCATTAACACCTATTTGATTTGATTTGATTTGATTCAGAAGATTTCAAATGTTCAAAATAGTTTACTTTCTGTGTTCAGAAAGTATTGTTAACCATACATAATAACTTTTTACTAAAAAAAATAGTTTTTGAATTATATATTTTTATTTGAGGTTCTTGTTCTAACTGTTCTAGCTACACTAGTGAAGTATACTACAGACGAATATGAAGTTAGGATTCTCTATGAATATCTGGCAGAAGCTAGTGTAGTTTTTCCCAAGGTAGAATACAAGATTGCTATTAGATGGGGGTTTGATTCTTCTTATTCTTGTTGTATTTGTCTTTTATCATTTTGATTTATTTGGCACATTCTCCTTTTTGTTGGTAATTTTGGGGTAATAAATATGGATATATGGATGTATAAATTTAACTAATGCTGATTAAAAGTCTGATTGATTGATTGACTGATTGGTTGTAAACTTGTAATAAGAGACAGTTTGACTTATGGATTAATCGAACCAGTGTTCGAATAAGTTTTTAAATGAACGATTGGTTGGTTGCTTGAATTATTGATTTATTTATTGTTCTTTGTTTGTTTGTTTGCTGAGATGATTGATTGATTGATTGATTCAGGTGTTCCCTGTAATTCATTCTCTGCTGGACGCTAAAATTACAAATGTTCTCAGTCTTTGTCATGATAAAACCATTCTTGCATCTGTACAGGCAATTATAGGTAAATATATACAAGGATTAGAAAACTTGATTCCTTTTGACAGATATTTACTTCATATCTGACAGAAAGAACTCTAGGCTATTGCCTATTCAAATATTCTTTATAAAAAGGATCACTTTAACAACCCCTCTGCTAAGAAAACCTTTTTGGTTATTTTTGTTTTTCAGCCAATATCCAATTTTCCATAATATGGGGTAATCAAAGCAACAAAAATTACCAAATTTTTCAGAAATAAACGTCAATTCATAAAACCCTTAATATCCACTCGTTCAAGACAACTTATAGGGCCGAGCACCACGGCTGTGTATTGTAATTCAAACAATATAATTTCTTTAATATAAAATGTAGTATTGAAGGAACCGTAATCGTATTTTTGCGCAATCTTTCATACAAAGATGGCAATGCTCGATCTAGAACAGTACCCTTAAAAGCTTTGTCTGATAATGTATGAATTAGAAATCGGTGTTTTTGTTTTTGAAAACTGGTTATTTTGATTTGTGGTTTCTCTTCAAAGGTGGCCTGCGAATTTCTTGTTCATAAGAAACAGAATAAATAAACTTTAGAGTCGGAAAAATGAGGTTATCTTCCATAATTTTTATCAGATTATGGGTTTAAGGGTTACGATGTTAAATGGGCATTGCATGGAGGGTAACTTGAAATCTAAGGAATACAGTCCCATAAATATTTGTATTATCCTAGAGAACATGATATCCTGTGAAGACACCTCTCAGCAACAACTTCACTTCCTTCAGAGCTGTGGGTTCGGTGGATTGTGGAGGTTTGCCGGTTACTTCACCAAGTCGAACTGTAACGCGGAGAACGTGGATCTGTTCATGAACTGCCTCGAGGTCCTGGTGGAGACATGGTTACCCAGAGATGAAACTGATCATGAACTAGCTCAGTATCCTAGTATGCTCTCAGGTAAATAATAATAAAAGTTATAATAATAATTAAATTTATAATAATAAAAGTTAATAATAATAAAAATGATAATAATGATTTACTTTAATTCTGAGACAGTTCCTCTATTCAAGTGTTTCCAATCTAGAGATAGGAAAGCTGTAAAACTTATGCGAAAATACTGGCATAACTTTGTGACCTCTTAGCTCATCTAATTTTAATTTTTCACCCAAATAATAAGAAGCTATTTACTTTATTTATTTGCATAATATAAGTTCTGAGCTGAAAACTTTAGAATGTGATATCCTTAATCCCGATCTTTTAATTAATCTGGAGATTAAATTCATGAGGAAAACAAGCAATATTTAATCTGGAGATTACGAAAAAGAGTGGATCAAGCATTAATCCCGGTATCCACCATTCTATAGTTCCCAGCTCAAAACTGTTTTGTCTTTCTCATTAGCTTTTCAGAAAGATAAGTAATGATTAAATCTTAAGTTTTACAAAAGTCGAGAATAACCGATATGTATTTATTTTGTGGTCGTTTGAGTTTATGTGAATCTTGAAATTGTAAATTACTAACAAAGTTAAATTTAAAATATGTAGTTGATTTAAATTCAAAATTGGTATTTTTATTAACAATATTTATTTATTTTGTCAATCTTCGTAATCTGGGAATGAACACTCGATCGCTCAGAAAGTTTTGATATTGATAAATTGATCGATAGTTCTAACATGGATCTATTTAAATATAAGTAATATTTTGGACGAGTGCTATATTTTTTTAGACTTCATAGTTAGAATTAAGTTTTTGCCACAAACTCAAATGTTCTAATCTTATCTTTGTAACCTGATGGTGGAAACTTTTGGTATTTCATGCTTTAATTTTTTTTTTCACACAGAATGCATGGCTTCAAATATCTAAGATCTACGACATTGGGTTGCAAAGTAATAGGGATTAAAAATCAGAGTTTGTAGCAAAAACTCAATTTTTTTAGTTTCCTCCATCAACGTGAGTTCTAACATCAAGCTCAGTTCCAGTCTCACTTCTATTGCAATGTCCTCACCAACAGAGAAGTGTGCTAACACTCCATTCTAGATATATATATTATGTTCCAGATATATATATATTTATCAATCTGTTCGAGATATATATCAATCTGTTCGAGATATATAACAACCTGTTCTACATGTATAACAACTGTTCTATATACATAACAACCCGTTCTAGATGTATATCAATCTGTTCTAGATATATCAATTTGTTCTAGATAAATATCATCCTGTTCTAGATGTATAATATTATGTTTTAGATGTATATCAATCTGTAATAGATATAAAACAACCTGTTCTAGATGTTTAACATCTGGTCTAGGTACATAAAAATCTATGCTAGATATATATATAACAACCTGTTTTAGATATATAACTAACTGTTCTCTTGTATTAAGCTCTGTTATATCAACGTTTTTCTCCAGAAATTTCTAGAAATACTGATGGTATAACAATCCAGTGTAGATAAAGGGTTACCCACAAAGAATGAGACTTTAATGACGACCTGAAACTCTTAAAATATGACGATCTGAAGGTTGAAATTGATTCTCGGCCTTAAACATTATTTTCCATTGGTGAAATAAATGATTTGACACGAAATAAAACAAGTTAACAGATGATTAAAACCATTTATGCAAGCTAAAAGATCAAATAAATTCCGCATACAGTTATCACTGAAGTTTTATTCTTTGTGGGTAACCCAGTACATAACACTGTTCTTGAAATTCATCACTGTAATCAATACATTACACGCTGTTTTACGCATAATAATAATACAACACTGTTCATGTTATTTCTTTTTATAAAACTTGTTGTTTAAATGTACAACATACTGTTATTAATATCAGACACCAGGGTAGGCTACCCACATAACACTTTTCGATTCTAAAATAAAAACTTATTTTTATTAGACATAGATTGGGTTAAATACAATAATTTTATTTCTAAGACTTTTTTCATTTAGTTTCATTTATTAAGACTATCGATTATTTAGTTATTGATATTTATTTATTTAAACTGATTATTTTACATAAAATTTCAAAAATTTCATGTGTTAAAAGAAATACTTCGATATTGTTATGGTTTTAGCATTCATATACTATTATATTCCATGGTGTATTTTATTTATATAATCTTAACATTTTTTAAAATTAAAATTAATGCTTTTACTTGGACTGAATATTAAACCCTGAAAAACATATTTATATCTTATTGTTAAATGTTCTATCAGAAATGTTTATTGTTAATTATATGTTATAAACTGAATTTAGCATTGGACAATGTAAAATGTAAAGGTTCATGAAAACCCGCACTAGGGAGGAAACCCCCTGCCGTCATGAGCCTCCCAGATTTTCTATGCAGCCCCGAGCCCCCGCTTTGCAGTAAATATTCACATCAAGACGTGAAAAGGAAGATACTATAAAAAAAAATTCAAAAATGAATTCGATTTGATTAAATATTTGATTTAAGGAATACATGTTCTGTTGATTTTTTTTTCTTAATTTCGATCGTTCTAAAAAACAATAATTTTGTATTAAAAGATTTATCTAAACAAAACAATTTTTCAAAAAAAAGGTATCACTTAAATCAATAAATTGTACTGCATAGGAAATCTGGGACGCTCATGGCCCACCACTGACCCACCTATCCATTTTTAATTTATGAATGTCTGTATTAAAAAAAAGATCTTCTTTGAACCTGAAGATTTCAAAATGGAATACTAAATAAGCTTATATTACTTCAGTGTATTTACAACTATTATTATTATATCCGTGTTTAATGTGCATATATTCATAAAGATATATAATATTAATGTTACATTTTTTATATTGGATCTCAAATTTGAGACAAAATTATGGCAATTAGATAAAAACAATTTTGCACAATATTTTAAGTTTGCTCTACAAAACAAAATGTTATCTTTTTTTCAAAACTGATGTAAAACTGTTAAAATTGTTTTGAAAAGAAAAACTTAAAGAGTTTATCTAAATATCTGGATATTCGGAGTGTTTTTATTTCTATGTTTGATCAAACCAAAGCATATATATTTCATGTCTCTGTACCCTGTAGAATAAAATGGAAGACCAGCAGACTAACGTACTGGTACTAATGTAAACAAGAAATAATTCAGGTGATTTATAAATAAATAAGTTGAATTTGACGAATCACGATCTACCTGAATCTGTATCCGTCTATTAATACTATTTATTCATCTATTTATGTATCTTTTCTTTTTAGATACATATATGGATAAATAGATATCCACTCATCTATTTGGTTATCTATCGATTTATCTATTCATTTTTTCTATCCACCCCCTACATCTATTAATTTACTTATATAAATGAATGAATTTCTATCTATTTACCTATCTATCTATCTATCTATCTATCTATCTATCTTTCTATCTATCTATCTATCTATCTATCTATTTAGAATGACTAAGAAGGAGAAAGAGACTAGACACTATAGAGTGTCCCATCAGATCCTATCTCTCACTGGGATCAATTTTCAGACTAAATCTATTATTGGGTAAGTTTTTAAACTTATATTTTACATTGTACATTGTATTCCATATTGGTATATATTTTTTTTTATATTGTATATATTGTTAATTGTATTACATATTGATTATTTATTTAATTATTCTAAAATCAGATTTTGCTTGAACCATATGAGACTTCGATAAAGGCATAACCTTGACCATTAAACAGTGAATGACGGGTTGTCTTTTGAAAACTACGCAAAAATAATAATAATAATTATAATACAACCTTATTCCAGTCCTGACGTTGTAAATTCATTTTGAGTTAAGATTTTGACAATCTTATATGATAATTAGGGTGCCCCGACATTGGCGTTGGATTTGGCTTCGACTTTTAACTAAAAGTTTATTTTCTAGGTGTGTTGAATTGACCCTGATACCGTCCAGAGATAATCTCAAGCATATCCGACTCAATGCTAAACAACTCAGAATATACAGGAACATATTTTTCATCATTACTTATGAGAAAACGTATTTTATCCGGTTACCTACTAGAAATTCACAACTTTTTTGTTCTTCTCAATAGTTCTTCAATTAGAAGAGTTATGATTGAAAACATTTAAGATTTCAATCTAGCGTGAATTTTACTTCAATTTGATGTGACAAGAAAATCATTATATTATCATCAAACATAACGAAAATACATTTTTAAAATTTGATTAAAAAATGTGAATGTTAGTGTTTGTTTGAACGGGACAGTGGAAGCTAGTTTTCAATATTTTGATCCAACATTAGAAGTTTGTCAACAAAATGTGGAAAAGTGAGTCCAATTCAAATTTAATTGGAAAAGGATATTTTCTTCCACTATATCCATATTCTAAAAATTGTAATGTCGTTTCCCTTGTTTCCTTTATCTTGCAGGCTTGCAGCATGGGTCCTGTGCTCAGTAACTGACAACTATTTGGGTTTTAAATTATTGGGAAAATGTTTTGACGAGTTGGGAGATATGAATTCTAACAATCACGTTTCCCAAAGTTGGAAAAAAACTTTTTGCAACTCCATGCAAATTTTCGGAACATTCTTGGGGGGGAAATATTTGTTGATGAGATCCTTTTAACATGTAGTAATCTCTGTTTGTCTGTTTGTTTGTTTTGGTGTCCGATCATAACTCTTGGACTATTTGGCCGATTTGCCACAAATTTTGATTGGAGAAGTCGGGAAAACCACGGGATTATTCTTAGGTTCAAAGTTGAGTGGGTCGATTTTAATAGGGAAAAATAGGTAAAATCATGATTTAAGACAAGTGAAGATAAACGCAGGGAATAACTACGAGTAATATGGGCAGCGCCGGGTTTCCAAGCTAGTATACACATATTACTGTATTGTAGAAGGGACCTGGATACCTACTCTGAAAACCATCTATCCGGATGTAACCTGGTGGATCCGGATCTTAACGGTGGAGAGCTCAACATCAAAATACCATCAGAGGTTTGTTACAGATAATTGTCCTTCTAAAATAAACATTTTGATTTTTATTTCATTGTTATCTCCCACTTGATTTGATACTTTTACTTTCTTTTAATATTTGTTCATTCAAATAACTTAAAGGGACTGTCGTTGTAATTTAGGTGACCCACCATTTTATAAGGGCATTGCAGGTTCTGAAAGGTACCGTTTAAATAACCTTTATCTGATAAATAATGTTGGAGATATCGTCGTTTTTTACGTTAAAGTGTAACACTTCTAACAACTTCCTCCATTGTTTCTGATCTGAAATCTGCAAGTCACTGTTACAGAGAATCCATCGAACATGTCACTTATGCTTGTGCGAATTAAGTGAACACTTGCCACAAATTTGTAATTTTCTAATCCCATAAATATCAGGTTGCAAAGATATACGTAAAAGAAAATTCTAATTCGTGGCGAGGATCCATTTTATGTACAATCAGTTGATATTGTTGTTTAGGCGTTTAGCCAGAATATGATAGGAGAGGGTAAACCTATCAGAGTTCGTGTAGAATTCTCTTTAGAAGATCCACTGGGAGGAGTTCACTTCGTTCTACCAGAGGTCAGTTTATAAACTGCTGTTAATGATTTACTGTATACAGGGTTACCATAAAAGAATGGTCTTCAATGACGAATGTGGTGTAATGTCTGTTTATTTCCTTATATTCATGATTCCCTGCAACCATAAACTTGAATCTTTCTTTGTCAAATCATTAAATAAACCATCAAAAGACAATATTTAAGGCAGAAGAATTAATCAACCTTAGGATCGTCATATTTTAAGAAATTCAAGTCGTTTTTACAGTCCCGGATCCGCTGTATCCACTTTATACTAGATCTGTGGATCCTGATTCGGGCCTGCAATAATATGCTGATATCCGGATCCAAGTGTCAAAATATCAACCAAACCGTTGAAGAAAAATAAATGGTGAAACTAATAAGTGATAGTGAAAGATTTAGGTTTAAAAAACAATTTTGGCAAAAGAAATTAGCAAAACCTGAATAAAATATCCATGAGCAAGACCCTAGATCGTTTAACCATATGTCGGTGAACCGAATTACTGTCCTGTAAACGCTACTATACCTTCAATCAGATTACTGTAGTACCCACTGAAAGTTAGTTGAGTGTGGAATCAGCATTAAAATTCCTCCTTAAATTAAATTCTTCTTTCTGTAATGTCAATTTTTTTAATTAGAAAAAAAATTTATACATTTTTTGGAGTAAAAAAATATGATAAAAAGTTGATATATTTTGTAGGGTGAGGGTACACTGGCTGAGAAATCTGCTCATATGTTCACCTACGGACACGAGAACAGTGCTAGACTCTGGTTCCCTTGTATAGATACTACTAGTGAACCTTGTACATGGAAGCTAGAGTTTACTGTAGACGAGGTAATAGTTCTCATTGAATAAATGCAGGGGTGAATATTTTTCAGACTACCCCCCCCCCCCCCCTGGGGGGGGGGGGGGGGGGGGGGGCCTGACGGGCTTGATGTCTAACTACATTCGTGGTTTTAGGATTGCCATAATAATTAAATAATATCATTAGTGTATCATTTTAGAGAAACTAATATATTTCCAAATACGCCAAAACAGTAAACCCAAAGATATATATTTTGTTAAGGTACCTGAATATGGATAAACTCCTCCCCTGCTACAGACACACAGTTACTACTGCTTGTTTAAAAGTAAGTTTTCTCAATCTATTTATTTAACTTAATCCTTTATGATCATTTTCATCGTTCTAATCCAGGGGGTGGAAACGTCATGTGTGTGTGTCTGTACCAAAAGAGTGTGTGTAAGGAATACCGAACCGATGGTGTGTACTGTAGGTTTATACAGTACATAAGAATCTCGGTATTTGTATAGTCTAGAAGAATACATTTGTTTATTATTAATTGTTTACTTAAAAATAAGTTTAATATACGTGTAGTATATTATTTATATAATTAAGTCAACACTATAAGCCAAATTTTCATGCAAAGAATAAAATTTGATTAAAGTTTACAATAAACTACCCGTTATGCTAGCTTAATTATAATTGACGACATTGTTCTGCAATTTCCTTAACTGTAGTCATGTTGTGTGTATGTACCAAAAAAGTGTGTGTAAGGATTAACGAACTCGTCTGCAAAGCAGTGCGACTGGCTTTCTTATGCTGGACCAGCGCCATTTCCTTTCCCTTTATTTCTATTCTCTGTTCTAATCATCTTCCCACCTCATTTCGGCCTTCCGGAATCCAAGATTCTTAAAAGGAATATAAGGAAAAAGTCTTAAATCAAGATCAACAACAAATGTTTCTTATATCTTTTTTCTTCCAAGTTTAGCCAATTATTGGATAAAAAATGGAAGAAATTTTAGTTTTTGATCTTTAAATGATAAATCCGTTGTATTAATCCGCAAGTCACGTGTAAATTTCAGATGGACAGAGAAGGATAACTTTAACCTTTATCAAAAAAGGGTTTAAAGGGTACCATTGGGAATCGAACTTGTAACTTTTTTTTCACCTTAAGCGTCACTTAAATTTTAGTCGACATTCCCTTTCATTATTATCTTCTTTTAGGCAATCCGTAAACTGCAAAAAACTGGTCACCTTCCCCCTAATCCTGAATTCTTCAAGGATTATTCTAAGCATGGACAATTCCAGGATGTTAGGTATGTTGCATGTCTGAAGTTAGTTCCCTTTCTCATCTATCCATTATTTTTTATTCATAAACATTTACAAAAAATATAAAAATAATTAATTTTGATGCGGATCTGGATCCGGATCCTGGATCCGCACTGGAAAAAAATGGATCCGATTCCAGGTTATTTCCATAATAACTGAAATATTTTTTAACAAAGCAGAATTTTCAAATTGTTTTTCTTATTTTTTTCGCTTATTTTTATGCTTAAACTTGATGAACCATTCAAAAATCAGGAAATTTTTATAATCTCTCTTTTTCAATAGTTCAGATTTGGGGTTTGAGAGTAAATTTTTTTATAATTCTGTAAAAAAAAAAATTTAAAAAAATGAAGGTGAATGTATATTGTATATTCTAGATTGGCTGCCCTGGAGTGCCTGGTTGACTATGTAAGGTTGGAGGGCAGGTTTGAGGATCTCAACTACCTCCTCGATATGGTGGAGAAGGATCCGGATCCCGGGATCCGGCACCTACTCGTCCGGATGATGGTCAACAATCCTCCGTTTGAGAAGGGACGAAACCACAGGTGAATAATCAAAAATATGTATACAACACTCAAAAATAATGTTGTTTGTTGAAATTGCACATTTTTTCCGGCATTATTAGGAAACATTTTATGAACATTTTAAAATCACGAAATTTGTTTATTTTTTTTTTGCTAATCTAAATGAAATATACATTTATATAATACACTTTTTTATTTTGAATGGTAGAAATAAAAAAATGAGTTCTAGTGTACTGTATATTCTTCTTCGGTTTAAAGCGTACACGTACAATTTTTTTTCAATTTCATTTTTAGTTACTTCTCCATTGACAGCTTCAATTTTTTAAATTATATTTTTCTCGTCACGTTTTATTTAATGGAGATTTATGCTAAATGGAAATTTTAAATGTTTTTAATATTTACCCCACATTCTGAAAAGATTTGATTTGATTTGATTTGATTTGATTTGAGAAAGTTTTGAATTTCTAATATTTTCAACCAAGTAAATTGTACCAGACATCATATTTGAACTTTCATGATGTTTTGGTTTGAGTGTCATTCTGATTCATGTTAAACTAACGTAAGAAATCTTACATTGTCTGTCTGTCTGTCCATCTGTCTGTCTGGTTTTCATTTTCAATCATAACTCCTATTACTGAAAAGCTATTGATAAGAACAAACATGTTTGAATTTCTAACATGTAACCGGATATTCTCACATGTGTTATATGTACAATAAGAGGAGTTTAAAGTTGTCCACTAACCACGTCAATTTAAACACTGTCAAAATTTGTACGCAAATTCAAAACTAGAGGAGCTACGAGGTCACAAAGTCGTATCAGTAATGTCGAAGAAATTTGACCTGAGCAGTGTATTCTATTATTAGGAATGACCGACCGGAAATGGTAGAACGGATGTGGGGAATGATAAACTCTAAGTTCTGGTATGACAGTCGACTGCGCTGTGATATGGTTGACCTCTACCACATCCTCTACTCTAAACGTCGACCCTTCTGTCTCCCAATACCTGAATTGGCGGCCCTAGGCCGGGCCTCGGCCTCTATGGGGATGGGGCCAAGTATGGGAAGTTCTATGGGGGCAACATGGCCTAAAAAATCTCAGGTAAATATCGAAAATGCAGAAATCTATTATTTAGAAACATTTTTATTTCGTTTTGTTTCGTAAGACTAAACTATACTATACTATATGATGAGCTAGGGCCCCTGACTAAATTGTTTAAATTGTATCTTTCATAGTTTCCAACTAAATACAAGATTTAAAAGGTTTGTATTATGAATTAGTTTTAAAATTTTGGATCCAAGATTTTCTTACTTTATTAGTTTGATCATGGTTTTGTTAAATAGTTCTAAAACAGAAATTATTTTTTTAGTTTGTGATTCCGAAAACTGAGAAGAAGGAGATAAAAACAGAGATTAAACAGGAACCTGGGATACAGATAAAACAGGAGTTGGATATCCGTTCATCTTCAATATCAGGTAGGTGGATAAAGGGGATACAGATAAAACAGGAGTTGGATATCCGTTCAACTTCAATATCAGGTAGGTGGATACAGGGGAAACAGATAAAACAGGAGTTAGATGTCCGTTCATTTTCAATATCAGGTAGTTGGATACAGGGGAAAAAGATAAAACAGGAGTTGGATATCCGTTCATTTTCAATATCAGGTAGGTGGATACAGGGGATACAGATAAAACAGGAGTTAGATGTCCGTTCATTTTCAATATCAGGTAGGTGGATACAGGGGAAACAGATAAAACAGGAGTTAGATGTCTGTTCATTTTCAACATGGATACAGGAGACAAGAGTATGGTAAATGTAGTAATTGAGCAAAAAATCAGTTTAATTTAAATTGAATGATTTTAGGTTTAGATATCCCGGAGTTCTTGATGGAAGGAAATGCCAACGCCAATTTCATGCCTCCCATGATGGGCATACCGGGCATGCAGGGGTTTTCTGGCATGCAAGGTTTTTCTGGAATGCAAGGAATGCCAGGCATGCAGGGTTTACCGGGCATGCAGACCTTCCCTGGCATGCAGGGTCTTCAAGGTTTACACATGGGGGATCCCTGGGGACAGGAATCGAGCAGGAAACGAAAGAAAGATAAGAAGAAGAAGAAAAAGCATAAACATAAGAAGGAGGATAGAAAAGAGGAAGATGGATCTTCAAGACTGAGTTCTGGAGGAAGCAGCTCAGGAAGCGGTCCTAATAGTCCACTGGGAGGACCAGGGATAGAGTTTTAATTTTAGTATTGGCTATAACCTGTAAATGCAGCTCCAATTCTTACCTTGAGATAAAGTTCTAATCTGAACCTTGAGATACAGTTCTAATCCTAACCTGGAGATACAGTTCGAATCTGAACTTGGAGATACAGTTCTAATACTTTCCTTTAGATACAGTTCAAATCCAACCCCTGAGAAACAGTTCTAATCCAAACCTGGAGATACAGTTCAATATTCCTGAAGTCTAAGATTGATCTATACTCTCTGAATAAGGATCTCATGTGAGCAAAAGTTCTTGCTAATTATGTTCTGAAGGTTAGGACAAAAGTTCTTGTTTATTTTGTCCTGAAGTTTGAGACAGAAATTCTTGTCCTGAATTTAGAACAAAAGTTTTGTGTAAAATTGCCAGAATCTGTCAAGGCAGTCCATGTACTCATTTAATAGTACAAAACTAAAAAACCGTGTAAACATGATACAAAGCAGTATGAATTTGCAGTTCATTCTTCACGTAATTATGCATATTTATTTATATGTTTATACTTTGCAGAGAATAATGTCTCCTTTTGATAGTGAGGTTCTAGAAAGAGTTTTATACAGGTTAGTAAACCTTATCATTACTTCCATGAATTAAAATCTACAAAATTATGAATTTTAAGGAAGCAGATTGTGTGTTAATCTGAAAATTTTTTGAATTTAATTGTTAATTTGGGATTGATTTCTTTCTCAAATTTATTAAAACATTTTTTAAATATATTGGGGGAAAAAGTTTTTTGTTATCAGATGTAGTTGTGGAACTAGGAAACCAATCTCAAGTTTATACTTCTGCCGACATTGTCTAGATCTGAGGTAAGGTATCAAAATAAAAATGATTCTAGAAATGTTTATTAAATGTTGTAACCAGTGGCTTGACAATCATCGTTAAAATTGAAAAATCGATCAGTATAAACTGAACAATTGTGGTGTTTAATGTTAATTGGACTATTTGAAATCATAACATTAGTCCACTAGTAGTTGTACAATTATACGGTTTGATGGGCCTCGCTGAAGTTCTTATTTTAAAGATCGTTTTGTCTCTGCTCCAGGTTAAACCTAGTGTTTTTGTAGATGCGGGTTCTGTGTAAGCCACGAGGTGGACAGTCATTACTGTCCGAACTGTATGGAGAATATGCCATCTGCAGAAGCAAGGCTCAAGAAAAACAGGTAGTGGTCAATTCAGGTAGAGGTCAATTCAGGTTGAGATCAATTCAGGTAGAGATCAATTCAGGTAGAGATCAATTCAGGTAGAGGTCAATTCAGGTAGAGGTCAATTAAGGTAGAGGTCAACTAAAGTAGAGGCTAATTCAGGTAGAGGTCAATTCAATTCAGGTAGAGGTCAATTCAATTCAAGTAGGGGTCAACTCAGGTAGAGGTCAATTCAATTCAGGCAGAGGTTGTGGAGATCAACTCAGGTAGGAGTAAAGCTGAATTCCAGAATTGATAAATTACTATTTGATTTAAAGCTAGGAGATTGAAATCATCTGATTAATTAATTTTTACTTCACAAATCTTCAAATGTTAATATTTTCAATCGATTTTTGTATAAAACACTCCAGGTTAAATATGATTTGATAAACAAATGAAAAAACAAAGAATTATTTAGCTATAAACCAGGTCATAGAGAGAGTTAAAAATAATAGCAAAATATTTAGATGTGCCAACTGTTTTGATTGCCCACACTGCAGCCATACAATGAACACTAGAGCTTCTTCTGTAGCTGTTCCTAGTCAGGTAGCTACGATCACTAAGATTTGTGGTGGGGGAAGCTTCTTTTGTAGCTGTTCCTAGCCAAGTAGCTTGTACGATCACAAAGATTTGAGGGGGGGGGGGAGCTTCTTCATTGGCTATTTATAGTCAGGTAACTAATAAGCTCACTAAGATTTGAGGAGGGAGAAGCTTCTTCTGTAGCTGCTCCTAGCTAGACTAGTCAGGTAGCTATTACGCTCACTAAGATTTGAGGGGGGGCTGCTTCTGTAGCTGTTCCTAGTCAGGTAGTTAATACGCTCACTAAGATTTGAGGGAGGGGGTAGCATCTTCTGTAGCGGTTTCTATTCAAATAACTAATTCTATCACTAAGATTTGAAGGGGGGGGGGGAGGGAAAGGTTACATAACCCACCAAAATTCAGATTTTCCGCTTTTTTCCAAACATGACGTGATAATTAAAAATTTTGAAAAGTGATATGTGGATTTTAACCGTGGTTCAATTTAATGTTAGATCATTTAAAAAAATTGTTTTAATTTGATTACAATATTGCGTTGTTATCTAGGAAGATCCAACCCGGATGACCGCTAAGAAGGTTTACTACTTGGCCTGTGCTTTTTGTAGATGGACCTCCAGGGATATTGGACTACCAGTAAGATTAATTTACACAATGATTTTATTTGAGAGCTTAGCAATAATTCTACGTCATGAACAATTTTAATCTTCAAATGACTCTGGCCCAACTTTTAATTGTTGCCAGGCCTTGACCCAGGGTATGGCCTTTCTAACTTAGTTTAATACTTTTTCACAGCCCCAGATATAAAGATTTTAAAACTGCGAGTGCAAAGCTTATGTTTCTAACTTTAGTTTTGAAGCATTGATTGGTATACTCGTAGAACATTTTCGTGCCATAATAGTTTAGAAAATACAAGTACTAAGGCTTAGATTCTATTTTGAATATAAAGTTGTAACATTTGTAACAAATTAAAGTTATGTATTTTTTTTACTTATTTTATTATAAGTAGTAAAATATTATGAATTGTTAGGATCAAGGTGTTGCTAGCGGGGGTTGGCCGGAGCAAGCAAACCCATATTCGGAACGAGTAAACGCTCTCCAGGTATACAGCCCCCCCCCCCCCATTTAATTATTATTTGCACAGGCTTTTATCGCTTGACTTATTAAAGAAAATATTAAATAAATGAGATAAAGAAGTTCTTAAAGTTAACAAGTTTAGAAAAGCCTAATTTCAAGTTACCCTCCATGCAAAGATGACAATGCCCGATTCACATCAGTACCCTTAGAAGCTTTGTCTGTTAAAGTATGAATTATATATCCATGTTTATAATTGGAAAGCATTTATTTTATTGCGACGTTTGTTTAAAGGAAGAGACCTGCTATACATGTAATTGAGCTGAAAGTGCAGTATTGTAGAGGAAAACCGTTAGGATTCATTTGATACCAATGAGACATCTTTACATGTTTTGTCCGGGTTATTAACTATTTGTCAAAACACCTTTTCTGCTGACTGGTGAAATATTACATAAGACTTTACACTCTTATTTAAAAATTGTACACCATAAAAATGCCTAATATGGTATCAAATGAATTCTAAAGTATTCTCTACAACATTGTATTTTCAGCTCAACTACCATGTCTATTGTCTAGTCGTTCTCCCCCTCTAAATTGGGTGGGCACTCCCTTTCATTTGATAATATTTGCAGGATTATTACCGTGGTATAGCTCAGAAGGAGAAGATGGAGAAGGAGTCCCGAAGGTTCCCGGGGCGTAAACTCTCATATCTTCAACTCTCAGATAAATTCGGACTCTCATCCGCAGTGTCAAGGTGAGGAAAACAGTTAAATGTGCAAACTGAGGGGGGGGGGGGTTTAAACATTTGTTTTGTTTTCTGTATTTTTAATTTTGTACTTTTTATTTAAATTTCCCAGCAAAAAAAAATGTTCAAAGCCCCAAACATAAAATTTTTAAAGCATAAAACATTATTGTGGTTTTTAAGATCGAAAGTTGGGGCAAATCGGTCCAGGGGTTCATGAGTTATGGTCGGACAAAAAAACCAGACAGACAAACAGTGTGCATTTCTCACCTAATTTTCAATTAGGTCTTCACGCCAAATGCCGGACGCAGGCTCAGTCATCATACCCATTTCTCACGCGCTTGTTTCTGTAAATATCCACAGTTCATTTATACTCTAGGAACGAGGAAAGCACGTCTTGCGGTGGAAACTGAAAAAATAAATCACAATATTAATCAGCTCCATATAATTTAACAAATTTTAAAGCAATACCATCAACTAATCATTATTTTACAATCAATCAATCACACAAATATGTTAAAAAGAATGCTTACATTTGGTGCATCGACTGAGGGCGTGGAGCACCGTCCACGAAGGTATATTTCTTGACGAGACTGTTTATTTAACCAGATCCCCTTATCTCCAAAGGTTTACTCCTTAAATAGTTTGTATTAGATTTAAATTCACTTTAAATCATCGTTTAACACACCTGTTATCGTTCTGGTCAGAGCTCACTAGACCAGGAGGGTATCTGTTTCTTGGTTTTAGAATATCTGGCTCTCACCCCAGGTTCAGCATACTCCTCTTCAGCTCCAACTAACAGGTTGTCAACTCCGCGGTTAAGAACAACAATCTCCCTTCAATCTTCAACTCACTATCAACACTCTCCTTCAAGTCCTGAACACGTTAGAGTAGATAATAGTCAAGCTTGCAAGTACTATGTACAGCAACGGTACAGCAGTACGTGAGATAAAACACACCTGTAAATAACTCATGGCTGCAATAACCGGACAGCTTCATGTTTACAGGTCCAGAGAGTACAGCGTCTCCTTCTTATCCAGGTCAAACCAGGATTATATAGTACAAGCACAATCTTCTTCCGTCGAGGTACAGGTACAGCAGTAGCTCCAGAACTACTGTTTATAGTATAGCTTTCTTGTACAAGTGTCAGAGCAACACCTGTCTTCCTTCTCTTAAACCGGTCAGCTGGGGTCAGGATACAACGATATTGTCCTCAGCTCCTGAACAGGGGTATATATTGTCGATGCACCGGGGAGGGATGAGATCAGGGTACAACAACGTGTACACTGTTCCCATGTACAAGTAATACAGTACGTTAAGGAATGTACAGTATTATAGTATTTCTCAAACCTTTTGTTTATATCGTAGAGAATTTATTCGGATTTGCATTCAAACATGACCATATTGTTTGGTCTGAAAAAGGCCTCTAGTTAAATATTTTTTAATGAATGTTTTTGAGTAAATATGTTTACACACATACATGGTTACATTTTAAGATTGATGGTATTGCGCGTGCTTCCTTTCATATATATAAGTTTAAAATCTTTTTTCTTTAATTTTTTAGATAAAACTTTCAGTTATAAAATAAAATTAGGCTAAATATGCTTTCAATCAACAAGGTAAAATATTCGTTAAACATGGCTAAGTATAGAGTTAAATAGAAAGTACTTTATAACTTCTGGAGCTTGAAGATGAGGATTGATGATTAGATGTGGATCCAGCTCCTGTTGTAGTTCAAGGTTTGGGTTAGTCACTCCTCGTCACTTCCTAAATAGGGCTTTAGGTATAGGTTTTACAAACAGAGATATAGGAGACACATAATTGTATGTGTTGTTCTAAATTGATTTTATTGACAGGAAAAGATCTGGTTTGAGTTCTCTGAATCTAGGAGGAGGTATCCAGGGTAGGGAGGATATAGGCAGATATGTTGAGGTAGGAAACCCCTCCGAGAAGGGGGGGGGGGGGTTAAGAATATTTAACTAGACCCTTTAATTCATAGACCGAATTTAATGATTTGGAGAGGTCGTTCAAATCCTGAATTTACATCCTCAATAATCTTAAACTTTGAATTCGTGATTCAGGATTTGAACCAGTTGTAAGTAGTTCAGCAACCTTTCTCAAATTTAAATTCGGTCCCAAAACTCTAATTATAAAATTCATTGAGAAACTGTTTTGGGAGAATTCGTCGGTTTTCTTACTTTAATGGGAATGAATTAGCCATTTTCTTTCTCGTCTTTGTTGTAAAATATCATTAGTAGCTATTTTAGTTTTTTTTAAACACAGGGTGTCACATGGGAATTCAGTGACGAATTCGATATCGTCTTTAAAAGTAATTCTTTAATTTAATATAGTGATACCTACTGAGAAAGCTTTAATCCGTAAGATTTTCGTCTACTATGTTTACAAGTTTATGTTTTTGACTGCTTACAGTTGTACTTAGTAAAACAAGAAAATTGCAGTATACAAACAGAGTAAATTGAGTAAACTTTGTCCGTTTTCACTATTCATTATGCGGATACATTATTAACACATCTTTACAGTCATTTACCGCTTTCATAAAATAAACTTTAGCAGACATAATATTATGGCTTTCAAATTAGGTATTACAATGCTAATTCATAACAAAGACGATTTCGAATTCGTCACTGAATTCCCATGTTAATTGGGACAACCTGGAGGAAAACGAAGAGATATCCGCCAGTATTTTCCCTCAAATCAACTAGGATTGAGAAAATTTCATTCTGAATACTCAACTTAAACTCTAATTTTCTCATCTCCAAATCTTTACCACCTGATGGTATAATGCGGATTTTTTAGTTCTAAGATATCAGAGCTGGGAACTTTTGAATGGTGGATATCGGGATTAATGCTTGATCCACTCTTTTTCTTAATCTCGAGATTAAATAATGCTTGTTCTCCTCTTGTTATTAATCTGTAGATTAATTAACCGATCGGGATTAAGGATATCCTATTCTGAAGTTTTCAGCTCAGGTTGCTGAGATAAATGGATAATAAAACAGAGTTAGAGGTAACTAAGATGACAAAGTTTTTAACATTAGGTGACCCCAGCTGAACCAGTTAGTTTAAATGAAATATCAGATCTTCCGACAGAACTTCTCACAGAGGAACTAAAACTATTCAACGTAAGAAAATTTAGTATTATGTTTTGATATATAATATTGTGCACTTGTAATTATTTTTACCAAGACCCAGTCAGTTTTATTTAGATCATTTGTATAGGGAACATATGTAATTGGCGATTTCTTGAAGAGGTGAAATTTGCAGCTGACGCATTCTGTTTGATATACATATATGTAAAGTTTTGTATACATAGTGTAACATCGTATGGCAACATTTTGCTATGCACGAATTTTGTAAAAGTAACATTTTACATATTTAACATTTCGTATATGTGACTGCCCAGTGCCCAGTGCCCAATAAGGAAAAGAAAGATTAATGAATTACCTAATATTTCTACTAACATTTATTAAGTATCAAAATGAAAAATTAATAATCGCAAGCTACAAATAAGTCTCCGCTTCATTCTTTAATTTATATATTCAGATAAAGTCTGGGGTGTAGAGAATAGAAAACCCCTTAAAGTCTGACATGATTTGATTTGATTTGATTTGATTTGACATGTAACATTTTGTATATGGAACATTTTGGGTAGGAAGATATTAGACAAATATTGTTTAGGTGACAACCTTAGAGCAGAGGTTTGCCCAGCTTGAGTTTCAGCCTGAAACATTTATTAATATTTATCCAACCCATAAACATCTTATGATTAAAAGATCTCAACGCTGCAGGAAGTAAGTAGCAACCTAATACATACGATAAGATTTATCCAACCCATAAACATCTTATGATTAAAAGATCTCAACGCTGCAGGAAGTAAGTAGCAACCTAATACATACGATAAGATTTATCCAACCCATTAATATCTTATGATTAAAAGATCTTTCTATTAGTTCAATTCCTTACTTGAAATTGTTGTCCTTGAAAAAACTAATTTGTTGGACTTTTTATATGAATACATGAATTGTGGGTTTGATAATTTCTTCATAACTTTATTTCGTAATTTTTAAAGCTTTACAATCAAAAATCAATACTTTGATTTCTGATTGAAGCTCATTAGTTTTCTGAAATCTATTCAAATCAAAAACATATAGGATGTCAGGGTTGACACTGATAACCTTGCACTTTAGTCAATGAGAATAAAAACTTATTAGAAAAGATAGTTGAACCAGCAATGCCTAGGTCAACAACTTTTCTCTCTTATTTTCCATCTTTGGACATGTTATCCTGTTTATTAAAGGTCACTTAAAATTACTTAAAATTAATCTTGTTTGTTTAGATGTGAGCATAACCTAAGTAAACCTGAGTATAACCCGACCAGTATCAAGTTTAAGATCCAGCTGGCCGCTTACTATCATGTCCCGGAGCTCATCATCTACAGCCTCGACACCCTCGTCAAGGACAAGGTCTCACAGTTCGTCATTAAGGTCAGTAGGTGGCTGTTTTTTGTACAGTTGTTGGTGTAGTTTTTATTTTCCTGTCATCTTTGTGTGTCTTATAAATGCATCTTCAATTTTGCCGTTTTTTCTTTGTATACATTATAAAAATAACATTGTAAATATCATGGATTTTTCTCCTTGGGGAATAATTTTTACCTATAAATTTTTATTTTATAATTTGGTTAGAATATTTCTATCCCACTGTTTTATGGGTCCGACTGGAATAAAATTAAGTTTTCTGTTTAAGTTTTATCATAACGTTAATTTCACATGAGATTGAAATCTTGTATGTTTCCAATCATAACTATCAAGCTATCAAGGAAAACAAAAATGTTTTGAATTTCTTTCATTTAATCGAATAAATTTGCTGTTATCACTTGTGCATAAAATGAAAACTATTGAACTCATAAACTCATAAACTGATACCAGTATTGTTGCATAAAGTTGATCTTCTACTTGTTTCTAGTTTACAGTGAAGGATATTGTAGGTGGTGAACCCAACTAACAGTGGGAGTGTGCTGGAGTTCATTGAGTTGTCGAGGTACAAGGAGTTGGTGGAGGAGGAGGCCAGGATCAGGCAGGAGAAAATAGACAAGGGGGAGATAGAGGAGAAACCAGCTTCAGCCATTAATCCTCTCCGCCAACCAAGTCTTTTCTTCATTTCTTCATTTCTTCATTTCTTCATTTCTTCATTTCTTCATTTCTTCATTTCTCTGTTTCTCTGTTTCTCTGTTTATCTGTTTATCTGTTTATCTGTTTATCTGTTTATCTGTTTATCTGTTTATCTGTTTATCTGTTTATTTTTATATTTATATATTTAAGTTGAAGCCTCCGACCAGAATATGGATATTGCTACAGCTGAAGTTATGCTACCAAAAGGACAAATATATCTTCCCCCAAGGTAGGAATTTTCTTTTTGTTAATTATGAATACTTCTTTATCAATAAATTGAAAAATGATTAAAAGTCTCCATAGAAATACTTTGCTGTGGAGGAGCTAGATTGTAGTCTTCCACTTCCGGACTAAGCAACCAAACAGTGTTCCTGTCAGAAAACCTTCAGAACTTTATGCTGAACTGTTATCAACCTCAGAAGAGTTTAGAGATCTGTTAGCTGAATATCCAGATGTTAATCTCTGCTTAAGGTTTTAGTGCTACTGTTCCTAAGCATCCAGTTTGTCATTCTGTTCCATAACTCCTGGACCACCGGTTTTTGCTAAAGCCAGGTGGTTAGACGCTGAGAAGCTCGAGTCTGTCAGAAAGGAGTTTGCTGCTATGGAAGCTGCAGGTGTCATTCGACGCTTTAACTCTAGCTGGGCCAGTCCTCTACACATGGCTCAGAAACCTGATGGCTCCTGGTGCCCTTGCAGCGATTTAAACACTCAGACAGTGCCTAATATACAGAGAGAAGGGGAGATTAGGTAACAACCTAATACTGGCTGAGCAACAGATTAGTAGAAGACCTTAGATACAGAGATAACGGGAGAGTAGTTAACAACATAATCCCTGCTGTAAAATAGATTAGTAGAAGACCAGAGATACAGAGCAGGAGTTTAGTTAACGATCTAATCCATGGTGTGTATTAGATCTGTAGAAGACTTTAAATACAGTGAAAACAGGAGAGTATATAAAAACCTAATCTCTGGTGTGAAATAGATTAATATAAGCCTTGAAATACATTTGTTATTTCAAGAGCATATCAACGATTATGTACGAAGTAAAATTCTGAATATGGCCAGGTCTGGCAACCTGCTATTGGTAAATCTCATGAAAAATAAGTACGGGGTAACAGTGGAAAATGTGCCCAGTTTGCAGTGCTAACAGACAGGACGTTGGGCTCAATGAAGTATGATAATATATTAAAATAAATAGCAGGTGGGTTAATTTAGCTGAAACCAAACTTGAAATATAAATACAAATGATTTATGTCAGACCAAACTCAAGTAATTGAGAATGCCATTGTTGATTTTACAAAGGAATAAACCACCCTCTGAACTGGGCCTATGTCCCAACTGGGGGTGGGTAGGTTGGTGGATGTCAACCTAGGGGTTCGGCTTACTCAGGTTCCCGATAATCCCAACACCCGGTACGCTAACATCCAGGGTTCAATAATAGAACATGCCCTAGGCGGTTTACAAACAGACGACCCCAGGCGTGATTGTACACGTATCGTAAGGGGAAGTACTGATGGGTGTGGCTTCATACGGGGATTAAAAATACCCCAGAAGTTCTGTTTAATAATAATAATAATAACACCCTCTCACCAACATTGCTGATTTTACATCTCGCCTCAAGGGCTGCTATCAAGTGCCTATGTCCAAAAAAGACATTCCCAAGACAGCAGTGATAACTTCTTTTGGCCGCTTTGGGTGGCTCAGGCTGCCGGCTGCACATTTCAGAGGATGATGGACCAGATTATTGGTGATATTCCTCACTGTTTTGTGTTTGTAAATGACGTTTTCATTGCCAGTCCTGATGCAGAATCTCACCTCTGCCATGTCCGCCAAGTTCTGTCTCCACCTCCACTGTCTCAGCATTAACCCTGCTATATGTGCGAGTTTGCCAAGCCTGAGATTGAATATCTTGGTATGAGGGTTTCCAGCAAGGGATGGGTTCCCCTTTAGAAGCATTCTGATGTCATATCCGCCTTCCCTCACCCTGTGGACAAGAAAGGCCTTCTACTGTTCATTGGTATCCTCAATTTAAAGGGAGCTGCAGGAATTCTTGCTCAGTTGACGGAAGTACTGAAAGAATAGGTTTCAACTCTCTCCTGGACACTGGGTCAGTGGGTATGAACCAATCTTTCTATCCGCCAAATCAGTTCTCTCTCGTGTTCCGACCCTTGTGCACCCAGATCATTCTGCCAGGATTTCCATCTCTGTAGATGCCTCAGGTTCCTACATTGGAGTTTTTTAGAAGAATAGTTAAAGATAAGCATCTTAGTTCTCTGCAATCTCTCAAGATGCTGGGGGGACCCCTATGGAAGAGCTAGATTGTCGTCTTCCACTTTCAGACCAAGCAATCAAACCAAATATATAAGATATAGCTTTTTTTCCATGTTTTATTTTAGAACTCAATATATTTACGGTCCGTTTATTTATCTGGTCTCTTTGCGTCGCTACGTTGCCATATTATATTCTATTAATATTATATCCTTTGGTGTAAATGTTTATTTTGCCTTTTGTATTGTACCTTTTGAATAATATAATACATCAGAAGAAACTCGTTTAGTGTTGGTTGGTTGGTTGGTTGGTTGGTTGGTTGGTTGGATGGTTGGTTGGTTGGTTGGTTGGATGGTTGGGTTGTTGGTGGGGTAGTTTATTGGTTTGATGGTTGGTTAGTAGCCTGGTTACGGAACTGTTTCCATTGAACGTAATCAATCTTCGTTCCACAAGTAAATTTTTGTTCAAATCTTTCAGTTTCATAGTTTGTATTCACAGGGATGATGCTGCTGAGTTTGATGACGGTGCTGTAGACCTAGCAGGACATGTGGATAACAGGGAAGTCGTCGTCTGGAGGAAAAGTAACAAGGTCAGTCATAATCACAAATCATTTTGGATACTCTAAAGGGAGAGACTGAAAATTCCTAAAATCATCACTGCAGAATGGATAATTTAGGAGGATTTTATCTGTGCTAAACAATTGTACACCGTATAAACGAAGGAGTACCGGCCCCAACTTCATTGAACTACTGGTTAAATAATAATAATGATACCTATGCAGGTTGGTATACAGCTAGGTGTGAAGCCTAGTATGGAGAAGGTTGTGGTTGGGTTTGCTATTCAATATCAGTACACAAACACTGTGTTCGCTCTAGGTATTAAACTTTATTAGAGTAGTGGGGACGTCAAATAGATTTATCCAAAGGAACTGAGTTTTTGCTATATAATCACTATATCTTTGCAGCCTAATGGGCTTCTTCACTTTTCTAGAAGATTGAATTTCGGGTATTATATTGCCTAGGGTACTCATAGATACTCCCACCGCTTTTCTACATAAACCTCACAATTTAGAATCTTAAAACCTAGCTAAAAACATTCCTGTGGTTCTCCCAAGTTACCCAATCAAAATTTGAGGCAAATCGGTCAAGGGGTTAATGAGTTACGATTGGACGTACAAAATAGATAAAGATTTTATTAAATGTTTTTATTAAATTCTGTGCTAATTTATTATCACATGACCATTGAACAATATATACAATATATTTAGATTCGAAGGAGATTCACACAGCAACTGTACGTATTCCTGTTTTCCTAACCCTCTCACAACCAGAATAATTGATTATTTTATTTTATTATTATTATTATTATCATTTATCATTATTAATATGATCATGATTCATAATACATACTAACAAAATATGTTAGGAATTATATGTAGACAATCAAAGATACCTCCAATTATTTAGATAGTCTTCAGATTTCCATTTTGTCTACATTTCACTTTTATGTAATCTTAATTTCTTTTTTAGAATTAAATATTAATATTTACTTTGATAAAAACTTTATAGTGATAAGCGTACATGACGCAACATGTGAATCATGGCTTTAAGGGTACACAATACACAACATTACTTGCTACCAAACTATCGTTGCCGATAATTGTATTTAACAAGAAATACTGGTCATCAATGTAAATGCATAAAAAAGTTTTTGCAATTTAAATTAAGAAGTAGCAACATTGTGTCACAATAACCTTGTTAGTGTGCTATTGATAAAGAATAATTTGCATATGAATATACAACTGAAAACATTTCAGCTCTTCATTAATATACTTTTTAACATAAAAAATTAGCTCAAAGGGACTGACTGTAAACGTAATTTCAAGTGACCCTCCGATTTACAACGGCACCCTTAAAAGTTTTACTTATCAAGTATGAGATATCTATGCTTTTGTGTTTTAAAAACTTTTATTTTAATTATTGAATTCTCTTTAATTGTGATTTGCACAATTCTTGCTTCAGAAACAATTAAGAAATTAAACAATTTTTTTAAGCCAGAAAAACCATATTATTTTAAAAGGTTAAGGTTTCCAGGGAATCTTTTTATTTGAATGGAAAGTCACTTAAAATTATGACAACAGTGCCTTCATTGAGCTTAATCAGCAATTGTAAATTATATTCATAAACAATTTCTTGTATTTATTTTCAACTGTGATTGTTTCTCGTAAAAGTTTTTTTCTTTTGGGATTTGAACAAAGCAAATGTATTGAATTTATTTTTTTAATTAAAAAAAGAGAATTTGTTCTTAAACTAAGTACTTAATACTTAACAATAAAGCTGTTTTGCAATCAAACCTTAATGTAGAAAAATATAACCTTCGTCCGCCTTTTTATATTTTCTATTTGCAGATAAAAGATGGCGTTCCTCAATAAATTGTTCGGGAAATCAGAAAAAGCCGCGCCGGTCACCACAGGTAGAAACTTTAAATAAAATGAAGAATATAATACATAAACTTTTAAGAGGTCTTAGCTGGGAACTTTCAAATGATTGGAAAATATTAAACTTAAACTGATATCATTGGTTAAATCCCCAGATTTGTTTACGCCAAAGATGAGGTTTTATTCCAATTCGTGAATAATGTTTCAGCGTACACACTTTAAGTTAATTCGGGTCGCTTAGCAAATTTTGTAAACCGGTTTATACAAATATTTATTAAAAGTAAACATTCATTCTGTCCCTGACTTCATTTTTTTAACTCTTTAACTTTTTAAGGTGAGGCGATTCAAAAGCTGAGAGAAACTGAAGAAATGTTGATAAAAAAGCAGGATTTTCTTGAGAAAAAAATCGACCTTGAGATCGGTGCTGCGCGTAAAAATGCTAAGACGAACAAGCGCGCAGCACTTCAGGCGCTCAAGCGCAAGAAACGTTACGAGAAACAACTTCAGCAAATAGATGGAACCCTCTCAACTATAGAGATGCAAAGGGAAGCTTTAGGTTAGTTAGTTTTGAATTTAATTGATAGACGTGATTTGATGAGAATTCTTATGACTTACTTTAACTTCTGAATGAAACTGCAGTTTCCCTCCTTTAAATGGTGGACATGTCCGGTATCCTTTAAACAATGAAGAAGAAGAAGTGTTGAATTCTAGCAATATCCTTCATTGTCTCTATAGCATTGCAAGTGTAAATCACAATTAAATATAATTAAAAATAATAAATTTTCAATTAGGGGATTGTGATGGCATACCCCTTGTAGGTCAAGGAGCTGTTGGACGCATCCCTAGCTGTATGATATGATATGATATGATAGAAAAAAAAATAATTTCAAATAGAAAATTAGAGATATTTTGCCCTTGCAACGTCTGTTTTCCTTTCATAATATTTATCAAAGAATAATTATAAAAGAAAAATATTTCTAGTTTAATTCCATGCTTTATCAATGTTCATTACTATTATATTGTATCGTTGAATAATAAATCTTTTATTGATTAGAATCCGCGAACACGAATACGGCGGTCTTGACAACAATGAACGACGCTGCGAAAGCTTTGAAGAAAGCCAATGCAGATTTAGACGTGGATAAGGTTTGTGATATTTTAGTTGGTAGAAAATCTGGTTGAGTGAAGTTGATTATTGTTATTCCTTTTTACGATTTATTTTCCTCTTTTATTTGCTTTCTCATAATTACTTTTAAATATTAGTTTTCTTAAATTGTAAATGCATTTTTCTGGATGTATAAAATGAACAAATTAAATTGTTTACACTTTTTACCAGAAAGAACAAGTTCTAATGGGGTGCTGACGGGTCGGGGTTACTCGTTTTTTCTAAGGCCACTTAGAGGACAAATGAGACCCTCAGTTATAAATAAATAAAGCTAAGGATTTTGTTGGATTGAAACCATTATCTTTTGATAAATATTGTTTTGTTTTCTAGGTTCATGATATGATGGATGATATTGCTGAACAACAAGATGTAGCAAAGGAGATTTCAGAAGCTATTTCAAATCCGGTTGCTTTCGGAGGGGTGAGTAATAAACTTTTTTAATTTTTAAAATTGGGTGTTGATGATGGACCTCATAGCAAGGGTGGGTACAAAGGGGGGGTATCTTCGCCCCCCCCCCCCCAGCTAAAATTGTGAGGCAAAAAATGTTCCTATTTTGCTAAACTATTTTCTTAATTTATTTAATCGTTTTTACCCATTTTTCAAGTTACTTGAAGGAATTATGATAATAAATACAAAAACAAAATCATATATAAGAAAAAATGTCGTACTTAAAATAAAGAACAAAAACAGGTCTAAAAAGAAAGAACTAGGAATTTTATAGGTTACAAAGAAAGAAACATACTGTACATGAATTAGTCGATAATAAGAAGATAAAGCAAGTTAAGAGAAAAAAAAATTACTAGGAAAATTATATGCACGTAAATTTAAAATTAGAAACATTGTTTGAATTTTGATTTATGAGTATAAAAGGAACAATATTATAATATAAGTCTTCAGGTTTCTGATTTCAGAAAATTTTTGTTCCTATTTCTAGAATTATTTGGAGGGGGGGGGGGGGAGAGAGAGAATTGGCATAAAATCTATTTTTTGTGTAAATGATTATTTTTTCTTTAAATTTTGGAAAATTGAGTGCTTTCTGAAATAAGTTATTTGGGAATTTTTATTTCCATCCTGTCTTGCGAAATGATAGTGTTTTAATTTTTTTTGTATTTTGAGAAGCTTATCCTTTTCCCTTCTTTTATTAGATTAATGATTAATATATAAAAATGGATAGGTTTAGGAGAAGCTGTTTGTACACATCCTCAAGCTTGCGGGAAGTTTTTATCGAATTTTAGTTTTGGGAAAACTTAAGATTTGAGCTTTTTTGATCTTTACAGGCATTTACAGTTTACATTCTTTACTTTCCCTGTATCAAAAATAAGTATTGGCTAGTGGTTAAAAAGATTTGTGACCAGTCAACAATCTCTTTTTTTAATCTTTGGTCATTAATTTAAACCCTCTTTGAGTTTTTCAGGCCAAAAAAATTTCTTTATTGTTCCTACTTCCATATTTTTTGTACCTAAAAGAATCTAGAACCCCCCTGGCTTATATCCTGTATCCGCCCGTGCCTCATTGAGTTAATATAGTCACATTTTATTGATAATATATTTCGGTCTGGGTTGACCCTCGTCAGTTTTAACGATATGATATTAATTACCATCAAAATAAATATTAAAAAAATGTTTAAAACCTCAAGAAAATAAACAAACAAAAAGGTGTTTTTTTTTCCTTAACAAAATATGGGGCAGTCAGATGCAGGCGCGCAACTAGACATTTTGTTAAGGGGGGGGGGGCAAGAGGGAAATATTAAAAAAAAATATGTTCATTCCTCCGAGTTCAGTCATAAAATTTCCGATGGTTAAAGATTTTCGTAATTTTTTTAATTCTGATTTGTACAAGCATTTTTAAGAAAAAGTTTTTTATGTCAGGAGTTTGATGAGGATGAGCTAGAAGCTGAACTTGATGCACTAGGAGATGAACTAGAACTTGAAGAGCAGGAGGAATTAGACAAACAACTTCTAGATGTAGGTCCAGCTGTACCTTCAGCTTTACCAGAGGTAACTAGTTCATTTTAACGTAACACAATTTAAAATGTTACCAATGATAAAAAATTACGAAAAAATTACTTGAAACATTTAATAAAATACACATTACACAGATTTGTCTGAAAATGGGTTGGAAAAATATAAGTGGTGTTCTTCGATTTTTTATGCTATTAAAAATAAGAACAAATCTATAAATCTATAATGATTACCTAAGAAATCACTTAAAACGTCTAATTCATACAATTGATATTATTTAAAAAACAGTCTTAGATTAAAAACATTTAAGGGGTAAAAGGCATTTTTAGAGTAATCATCGTGCTATAAAGTTAAATTACCTGTACATTATAGCACGTCTGCAAAAAAGTTTTAATTGGTTCTCGAATTTTTTCCAAAAAAATTTGGATATTTCCAACATATTTTTTCAATTAAAATTAAAATGAAATTGAAATCAACTTTATATTATGACTTCTGCTTTGATTCAAAGCTTATTTGATCTAGAAACAGACATTGAAATAAGACTAGTACACAAATGTTTCATAAAATTAACTATAACACCATTATTTTGGCACAACTTGCTATAAAGTTTTTGGACTTAAATTTTTTCTTCATTATCTCGAAGGTTCTCGATAAAGCGAAAATTTCTGTCCCAAAAACTTTATAACGCTGCGAACCAAAATAACAGTGTTATAAATAGTTTAACTGATTTTTTGGGGAGATGGGTGAATTTGTTTTCATACCAACCTTAATTTAAAGTTTATTCACCAAAAACTTTATCAATTAATTATTGAAATTACTGCCAGGTGCCTACATCAGAGCCAAGAGCAGCTGCCAAGGCAAAGAAACCGGTTGATGAAGATCCAGATATGGCGGAGCTTGCTGCCTGGGCATCCTAAACCGGGGCATATTCCACCGAGTGCTAGAAGACGACAAATCCTAAATTTCATCGAGGATTATCCTCGCCATTTTTTTCTCTTGTTAACCTCCTTTATGTTCCATTTAATCAAATATTGGATTAATTTATAAATGTACTAATATAATATAAACTAATTGTCTGGAAAGATTTTTCAAGCAAAATTTCCTTCACAATTTTTATACTCAAGCTTTAAATATCTTTCCAAGATGCAACCATATATATATATTATATAATGCTAGCTTCAGTATGTTTCTGGTCCACTTAGTCATTGANATTATTTTTATGAATTCAGTAATCCTGAGGACGTTATTAAAGAATTTGAGCTGCGGCTAAAATTTAAGCCGGGGCTCAATTAAAACCGGTTTTCTACTGATTTGAAACGCTGCTCAAATTCATTAAATTCGGGCTCGGATCGTATAAATTCCGTTAAACATTTACGTTAATAATATTTGTATATATATATATGATGATTGATGAAGCTAAGGAATGTAATTTAGAGACTTTTAAAATAAAATCTTCAATTTTTTATTGGTTTTACGCGTTTGTCGGCAAACTGAGTACTGTGGTCCAACTGTTTTATCGACATCTTTGGTGTTCGTCTCAATGAAAGATAAAACCTGTGATTATAATTATTCTAAAAATATATCTTGTCTGTGGTAGAAATATAAAATTAAAACATCAATGAATTAATTTTTGTGTGAAAACGATATTTTCAAGCTTTGATTTAGTTCCCAATTCTCTATAAACCTAAATACACATTTTATTCTTGATTTCCAGATTTAAGATGTCCGAGTACAGCGTTATCACGGAGTCTCTGGTGGACGTCATCATCAGCAGTAACATCACATCATTCAACAGCCAGAAGAAGTTCGACAAGGCAAATAATCAGAATTTTGCTTTCAAAAGAAAAAAGTTTTAATAGAAGACCGGGCTGAAAAACTAAGACATGAAACCGACTTAAAACTCCGATTCACTTCTTGAGTCTGAGGCCAGCCCTACAACCTGTGATGTGATTTGATTTGATCAAGAATATTCCAGATATGTTCGGAATTTAAATCAATATAAATCGAATTTTAGTGCTGGCCTTTATAGATAACAATCTTAACATTAATATCTTTATAGAGCTTCGGAGACATCGAAAGAAGAAATGTCGTTTTCTGCAGATATTTAGTTGTTTAATTGAATAATTATATTGAGCTTTTTAAACCCGTTCCCGAATATTTCATGGCTATTTATTTATTTTTACGCTTACTAAGATTCAGGTATGGTAGTACAGGGTTACCCACAAAGAATGATATTTAAGAGACGACTGTTCAGATTTCTTACCGTCCGTTTCCTAATATTTACGATTCCCTGCAACTGTGAACTTGTTTCTTTCTTTGCCAAATCATTAAATAAGCCATTAAAAGATTATATGTCAGGCAGAATACTTCATTTAACCTAGGTATCGTCACAGTATATAAGTTTCAGGTCGTCTTTACATTCTCATTCTTAGTGGCTATCCCTTTATAAAACCCATTGCAAAATTGTCAAGACGACATTCTATAAATTATTTCGATGACTCCTAAGTTCTGGGTTAAACTGTACATAAACTGATTATCTCATTAAGAGTTTAACTATTGCTGATCTGAAGATGAAACTAGAAATGATAACTGGAGGAACTGCTGCAAATATGAAGATTTCACTTTTTGATAAAGATGATAAGGTGACAGGAACAAATATCGTTTTTTATTAATTTTATACTTTGGTTATTGATCATCTAAATTATTCTATTTAAAATCTAAATGAACAGTTTTCGCTCCACTTTTTTCTTTTTTCGTGAAAAATAAATTAACCCAAAGTTGTTATTGGTTATTGTTAATAAATAATAATAATTCCATTGAGGAGATTTTTTTTAACTTCTTGTATTGGCCACTTTTGGGTAAACGTTATTATTATTTATCTTATCTTGTTTTCATGGTTGCGCTGACTTCATTTCCACGGAATAATACAACTTTCAATTTTAATTTGTATCAAGCTTTTAAACAGCAATGATAAACATGGAAACAGAGAGTACCTTTCAATTGAAAAAGCTTCTCTGGAGACTCTGGAATTGTGTGTAAACTTGTAATTTGAAAAAAGCTTGTTAAAAATTAAAACTCAAATAAAAAATAATCTTCATTATTTTGTTATTATCGCTTACCATCGTAGTTGATTGGCAACTAATAATTTTCAGGCTGTTTGTGAGTTCGACAATAACGAGGCACTGCTAGGTTCCTATCCTGTAGAATCTGGTCATAGGCTTCATGTCATTGATGATTCTAAGTAAGATTTTTATTTTTAAGACTTATTCTTGTTTTATAAGGCAATATTAAGAAATTTAGTCTGTGTCACAAACTGAAATTTTCTAATCCCTATATATATGCAACCTGACGGGGTAAACCTTTGATATATCAAACTTAGATTATTCAATCTAACAGAATTCATAGTTTGTAATATCTAAGGTCTCTGCACTCTAAATTAAAAAGTCGTAATTAAGCGATAAAAAGTAGCCTAATCGGGTGAAAAAGTTGGATGGCACCCAATCAGTCGACAAAAAATCGCTTAACATAAATCGCTTATATATTTTTTAAAATCGGGTTGTTTCAACAAAAAAATCGCTTATATTGCAGAAGAAGTTGGTGACTGCCAAAAAAACGACACAAAATCGTTTATTTTCAACAAAAAATCGCTTATTTTTAACACAAAAAACGCTTATTTTTAACGAAATCGCTCATTTAAAAAAAAATCGTTTTAATTCAACAAAAACATCTCGTATAAATATTATATTTACTTATTATTCAGAATTACTGGTGAGTTTGAGAATACTGCAGCAGTTGAGAAGTTTGAATTATCTAAAGAAGAATATAATAAGAAACAGGATACAGTTGCAGCATATCTCAAGTAAACAACAGTTTTTTTTATACTTTTCAGACCATTCGGAGTTAAAAAAAATAAACTTATTCATCCCCGGGAACAAATATTGATTATTATTTTTATATTATTATTAATATTATTTGCAGGAGGAACAAGCTGGGGAAGTATAACGAGGAGGAGATGGCAAACATGGCCAAGGAGAAGGAAAACCAGGAACTGGAGGAAGAAAAAAGGTGTTTAGATAACAACTAACTAGTTTTTTTTTTAATTTATTGTTGTAACTAAATTGCAATTGTCTTTTTCTTATCTTTAAGATTCAGAATCTTTTTCTTGAATTTTTAGTTCGTAGCTTTAAACTTTTTTTATTATTATTATCTTATTTTAAAGATTTTGAATCTTTTTCTTTTTGTGTGAAAAATTATGAGATATATTTTTTTGTATATTCTAAAGATTTTAAATCTTATTCTCTTTTAATTCATCACTTTAAACATCTTTTTGTGTTAAAAATTAATATAATAATCTTTTATTTTATTTTAAAGATTTTTTTAGGATATATCTTTTATTTTATTTTAGAATATATCTTTTATTTTATTTTAGGATATATCTTTTATTTTATTTTAGAATATATCTTTTATTTTATTTTAGGATATATCTTTTATTTTATTTGAGAATATATCTTTCATTTTATTTTAGGATATATCTATTATTTTATTTTAGGATATATCTTTTATTTTATTTTAAAGATTTTGAATCTTGTTTTTTTAGGTCTTCTCTTTAAACATCTTTTTTTGTTAAATAAAAACTATGTTGTTTTGATCATATATTGAATGTTTTCATTGTGTAGGATTGAGAGTGGAGGGTTGGTAGTTGATGCAAGATGTGAGGTAAGGATTTCTAAAAATATTTTTTAACATTTTTTTAATTTATGTTTCTGTCACATATACCAATAACTTGATTTAAAATAGAGAGGAAAAAATTAGATAAAAATTTATATAAAATCCAACAGTTTTGTAATTAACTTAAGAAATATATTACTGATTTTATTTTAGGTTCGTGTTCCAGGCCAACTTCCGAAAAGAGGAGCTATCAGGTTTTTATATTAATTTGTTTTTTTTTACAAACTGACATTTTTAAACGTGTCATTTCACCTGAAAGCAGATTTTTTTAATTGAATTGCCTTTCTTATGTTTTAACATGTTTATTATAGAGAAATCAGAGGATATTTATAATCTATATATAACGTGCTTTAAAAAAGACAATATATGACATTTTTTATTGTTTCATATTTACCTATATTTAAAAGACAATTTTGACTTTACAACAATTGGTTTGTGATGTGTAATTATATACTCGCTTACATGAGTTAGTTTGTTTCCAAATGTAATCAAACTTTGTTAGGAAGCAATTGCAACGGAGCCTTCAAGTGTATCTTATTTCTTATGTTTCTAGTTCTCCTCTCTGATGCTCTTTAAATATAGGTTTGTTGGTAAAGTCCATTTCCAGCCTGGTTGGTGGGTTGGGGTACAGTATGATGAACCTACAGGGAAGAATGATGGAAGTGTCGGCGGCAAAAGGAATGGTTACTCTCATTTAATCTCATTGACATGCCCGATTCACTACGGTACACTTACAACCTGATGAATTTCTTTTCTAGTTGAAAATTGTATGATTGTGAATCGACAATGCCACTTTTCAAATGAATGTTCAAATAAAATGTCGTCTACATTCCCTTTAATTGCATCTGTACCTTAAATATTTATAATAATTGGCTCAAACTCAAGGCTTACTTTCAACTTCTCCTATTTCTAGATTGGATATTATTTTCTCGACATTGTTGACAGTATTTGAGATAAACCATTTACGTCAGATATTTCACGTGTACTGCAAAATACGGAGGCTTCGTGAAACCAAACACGGTGGAGGTCGGCGACTTTCCGGAGGAGGAACTCGATCTCTCCGAGGGTGAAATGTAGAGGATTATGGTGGAGTGCTTAACGGAGGCTGTGCTTTTTCTGCTTTTCAGAACTATCAACCTTGTACTCGATTTAAAAGTGCTAGTTCCCTACTTTAATTTGATTGAAGATGTAAGTAATTTCGTTTTTTTGTGTGGAATTTTTGCCATTTTATTGCTTGTCTAGTATTAATAAATACATAGGCAAGATAACAATTCAAAAACGCCTCATTAGAATAAATTTGACAAAACTATACCCTAATGATACCATGTGGTTTACTTTAAAATGCCGTTATTTTTATTTAATACTAGCTTGCCTAATATTTAACAAGTTAACGAACCCCAAATGTAATGATCTGCTTTGCTGTTCTGTATTGAAACCACACAAAACACTAAACAATTTTACACCGTTTATTTAATATTTAGTCTCAAACTCACTTTGCACTAATATTTAATCTGTGATTTTTTATCATTGTTAACCAGTATTCATTTAAAAGCATTTAATAATAATTTTAAAAATCGTTTTTTCTTCAAATTTGTTGTTTTACGGGTTGCCCTGATCTAGAGAGTCGTTTTATAACGTTGTATTAGGGGACAGACTTTTAATAGGGACTGCAAGGGAAATTTTATTTTACTCTCTATTCTCATTCTCAACAGTCCCCTTTAGAACATTGACTAATAAATGATGACGGGCCTATCCTTCCTTATTTATTTAACAGTTTCAGAGCTATTATATATTCAAGAAACATTAATATTTATTAACAAGAAGTCTCGACATTCTAATTTATAAAAACGCATTGGCATCGAATATTGTGGATTTCCTAAGAATATATGTTGCGTCCGCTGAGTTGTGTTCACTCTGTGCGCCAGCGTACAATCCAGTTCTACGGTAATTTGAACTCCATTTTGAAGACCAACACCGGAGTTCTCTGTCCCCGCTGAGCAGTAAAAGTTTCAAGTTGTAAATCTGGTATTCCCCACTTTTCGTGTAGGGTCACTTGAATTCATACTTACAGCCCCTTTAACGAGTATCCAAAGGCCAGGGTTTGGATGTTTTATTTCAGATATTTAATTTAAAAATGTTTAACATCTCTGGGGGGGGGGGGGTCTGATGGTAGTTAAATTAAGAAAGAAACTTGGAAAATGAAGACGACTTTCAAATACGAATTCCAAGTTATTAATTTAAGTTGACATGGAGACAGTGGGGATTTCCATTAAATTGATACGTCGATTGCCCTTGGCCTTGTACAATGCATACCTACACTTTTTCATGATTTGCAAATGCTTTGCAGTATTTTATACAAAAACATAGTAAACGAGACAAATTCTAAAGAATTTTTTATCCCTAGAGAATGCATTTTTTTAGAAAATACTTGCTGGCTTTTCTAAACGGTCTTATTTTTCATTAACGATTAATCTGAGAATTTAGTCTATCTACAATCTACATTCTATAAGATAAATATTTTGAGCTTTATTTAGTATCAGATAAAAGGATTTGATCTTAGCCAATTTTTATTGACCGTTGGCGTTAGGTATTTTTTTTTACTGAATCACAATGTTAAAATTCGTCATTGCTCTTAAGAAGATTGGACGAGTGGGGGGAAGGCAGGCGGCTATGAGCCATGCCACTATTTCCCCTTCCGTGCCACATATTAGTTTTTAACTCATCCGGCAGCCATGAGCCACCACTATTTCCCCTTCCGGGCCACCACATTTGACCCCTCCGGCCAAAACTACTTTTTTAAATGGTATATTTAGGGCCTTTAAAATGTGATTTTTAAAAATCCGGTCACGTCACGTAAAAAAATATATATTTAAATCTTTACATTTAAGTGTTAATATAAAAAAGGATGATTCCTCTTAACGTAAACTGCAGAACTTTTTTATTATATTATAAAGATTTATTCACACACAAAGATATAAATACATAAATGGTGTAGTTTAAATTTGTTTAAATAAATTTTTGAAAATACAGGTTTCCAAAAGAAGAGAGGAAAATATGCAAAATTATGCACAAATAGACAACATTGATCATTACTCATTACATAACATATTTATCATTTCAGTTATTACGTAATCATCGAATCCTTCAATATATAAATTATTCATTCTTGTATTTAAAAGTTCTTGTAAAACCGGAATTTTCTATGCATGTTCCAATGGGACATCAAAATAATTCATTTGTTTCTTAACTAACATTTTACTAAGATCCGAAGGATTTACAGAACAATCATTTCCAATAGAAAATAAAATTCTGGCAAGAACTGTGTTAAGGTCATTTTTACATAAATTAGAAAGAAATCTAATGCAAAGCTTAGTACTTGCTTAAATAGTCTCATAGAAAGACACACATCTGCTAGCTAACATAGTTTTTACATGTAAACATTGTGAAATACTTTCAATCAAGTACCTATGCGTATCTCTAGGTACATTAAAAAGAATTTTTATATCAGTATTCCATGCTGTATACAATTTTGAAACACATTGGGAACTCAAGTCCCAAATACTAGATCCATAAAAACTAAAACAATAAATATTATACAGTTTCAAAATAACATCAGGACTGTTAAAATAAAATTCTTTGTTAAGGGAATGAATTTTTGGAATGAAAATAGCTCGTTTTTTATTGCAATCTATGGTCATTGAATTATCACTTTGCAGAACATTTCCTAAATGTTTTAAGCCGTTGACAAATGGTAAAGGTAATTCATTCAATGAAATTGGGGTTATTTCATTAAAATTAATCCTTTCTTTAGAAAAAATAAGGCATTTAGTTATACATTTTTCGATTCGAATATTTCTAAATTTCAGTTAAGTAGCTTCGGCAAAATTTTTACAAATTTTCATCATTTCCTGAAGACCTGTTCTGCTAGGAGAAAGCAGAATAATATCATCTGCGTATACCCAGATGCCCATATAGACACCCTGGATTTGGCATCCAATCGTTGAACAGCGTAATAACTTTATAACTTTGTCAATATATATACAGAATAGCACAGGGGAAGAAACTGCTCCTTTTCTGACTCCATTTTGTACATTGAAGGTATTTGCAAATCTAAATTATGATTTTCATATAAAACGGCTTCATATATATATTTTTGAGAGCAATATGAACATTAAAAAATACGTCCCATAAAATAAATACACTTTGTGTTCAGAAAAAATTGTGAAAACAAGTTTTTTGTTGATAAATTCTGTAACGCGTAAGTAATGACAGTAAATACTGTGATTTTTATAATATTTTCTTATTGACTACTCTGAACAATTTTTCCCTGCTCCCACATTACGAAAAATGACCTAGTTTACCTGCTAAAATGTAAGACTAACGACCTCTTTTTTATATATTATAAAAAATGTAGAATTGAAAAAATGGTCTGAGTTGTGCTTTTTTGCGTGAAGCGGCCATGGATTCTTGAAAATCATACTTTTAATGCCCTAAATATGGCATTTAAAAGAGTCAACTGTGGTGGCACGAAAGGAAAAATAGTGGTGGCTCACGGCAGCCTGCCTTGCCTTGCCCAGCTCATCGGACAAAATGGCATAAAATTTAGATTTTACGACACCTGAGCTTTCTAACATTCCTCATATCCAGCCTTGGATTTCTACAAGTTGTTAGTCTTTAAAAAAACCTTAAAATACACATTTAGGGCTAAAAAATAATTAAGAAGAATAATGTTGACAATGCTTTAATAATTCTTAGAAATCGTCTGTAAGTAATCCTGTAATAAGAATTTGATCCAAGCCCTTCACAATCATTTAAAATAATTTAATTATATGTTTAGGCGCTTAACATCCTAATGTAGAGCTTTGCACTGTCCACCTCGTATACAGGGTTACCCAGAAAGGATGAGACGACTGTTCGAAATTTTTACAGTCTGCTTCCTCATTTACGATTCCCTGCTACTAGATTGTGTATTTCTTTGCCAAATAATTTCAGCCTTCAAGACTTTATTTGAGCCAGAAGAATTAACCTTGAGATCGTCATATTTAAAGTCGTCTTTACACTCTAATCTTTGTGGGTAGCCCTGACATATAGGTAACATATAGGTACCATCTCAGTAATCTTATAAAATGAATAAACACAATTTAATGTTTTAACAACACTGCAACAATAAGTGCACAAGCCATATTTAAAGTAAATCCAAAAACGTGGAAATTTAATGGTCCTCAATATCTCCCTGAACTCATGATTTCATCACATAACTCCGATAATTCTAATAACAGCTGCATTCATTCAAGTAAAGATCGCCCCTCCTGGGATTTCTGAAGTGTGGTCCTAGCTTTTACCTTTCAAAAGCATTTTAAAATCCCAGTTTAATTTGTTCAAAATAACTGTCTAAAGGATCAGTAAGTCCTTGCAACAAACTTAAATTTTCTAATCCCTATATCTTTGCCATCTGATGACACAAGCCTTTGAAACTTAAAGCTTGGATATCCAATGTAGCAGAATTAATAGTTTGAAATATATATCGGGATTTGAAAATCAGAGTTTGTGGCAAAGGCTCAATGCCCCTCCAATGAATGGTAGATCACATTTTGGGAGGTTCATGAGCCGCATATATTTTACTTTTACATGTAAACTTTATTCTTCATTTATCAAAGACGAGTTTAAACTCCTCACTCAGTTCTCATGTTTATTCAAACACACTACAGAACCCATAAAACTGTGGAATAGGTACACGAATGTTAGACTCGAGTTAGGATATGTATTAGTCCAATGAACACAGGGACACAGTAATTGTGTAGTGTTCACACCCCCATTTCATCTTATTAGAGGACGTATATTGGTAAAACAACAAATAAACATTAAAATTATTTTCTTTTCGTCTTCTTATTCCAAAGTTTTATATGTCCTTCTGCATTGTATAGATCGAGAAACTAACCCAAGTTTGAAGTAAACTAGTTTCAACTTTAGTCACATTTATTTAACTGACAGGTTCATAGATCCAACTCTCAAGCTTACAAATACACTTCATGCACACTTCTCCGCTCTCGGGTTCAGGTTCAGGTTTAGTTCAACCATAGATCAAGGTTTAGTTTCATCCTAGATCTAGGTTTAGTTCCATCCTAGATATAGGTTCAGTTCAATACTAGATATAGGTTCAGTTCCATCCTAGATCTAGGTTTAGTTCCATCCTAGATATAGGTTTAGTTCCATCCTAGATCAAGGTTGAGTTTAATCCTAGATCTAGGTTTAGTTCCATCCTAGATATAGGTTTAGTTCTAACCTAGATATAGGTTTAGTTCAATTCTAGTTATAGGTTTAGTTCCATCATAGATATTGGTTCAGTTTAATTCTTGATATAGGTTCAGTTCCATCCTATATTTAGGTTCAGTTTCATCCTAGATTTAGGTTCAGTTCCATCCTAGATATAAGTTTAGTTCCATCCTAGATCAAGGTTAAGTTTAATCCTAGATCTAGGTTTAGTTCCATCCTAGATATAGGTTTAGTTCAATTCTAGATATAGGTTTAGTTACATCCTAGATATTGGTTCAGTTTAATTCTTGATATAGATTCAGTTCCATCCTATATTTAGGTTCAGTTCTATCCTAGACTTAGGTTCAGTTCCATCCTAGATCTAGGGTTAGTTCCATCCTAGATCAAGGTTAAGTTTAATCCTAGATCTAGGTTTAGTTCCATCCTAGATATAGGTTTAGTTCCATCCTAGATATAGGTTCAGTTCCATCCTAGATCTTTACTTAACAAATGTTAAAGTTCTAGGTCTAAGTTTTGCATTAAGAATTGGAGTTCTAGGTCTAATTTTTATCTTAAGCTCCAGATCTAAGTTCAGCACTGACCAGAACTCAATATCTAAACCTGAGTCCTGAACTTTGTAGGAGAGATAGATAACTAGACAAGGAGATCTAAATCATCACCCAAAAATCTCAACTCTAATTATGTTTGAAAATTTTACTTACTCTGGTTTGAAAACTGAAGAGAAAAAACATGACACCGGGAACAAAACTAATATTTCTAAGAGAAGAGATTTTTCAAGTGACTTCTAATGTTGAATTTATTACGGTTTTTTGGTAATATAACATCTTACAACAGTGAGCCAGTAAATACATACTAATTTCATCAAATAGGATTTTAAACATTTGCTCCATGGTTTTATCAGATTACAGATTTTTGAAAAAATAAATTTTTTATCAAGAGAGGGTCCGAATTTGCATTTTTAAGACTGATGTGGTTTTTAATACATATCTGTCGCTACATCTGTAAATGCCGAGCTTGTAGAATTGGTTTTGTATTGGTATCACAATTTTATGGAGGGTGGGTGGGATGGGGGGGGGGGGTATTATTGCACCGCTCCAAATGACTCGAGTACGGCTGATATTTGCCTATATGTATGTAGTGTTTGTACACCTAGTAAACCTATTTACAATTTGAATCCTGTACAGTAAGGTTGGTTGACCGACACCCAGCGCTATGGCTAGGAGGGGTCAACTCTAATGCCTCTATGAAATGAGTAATAGCCCAAGTTATGAGGAGAAGAGGCTGAATATCTACCGGCCTCCAGGTAAGGATAGTAGACACTAAAGAAATATATATAGACGCCAATCACTTGGAAACATTTAAGGATCGTATTTCTGGTTGAATAAATAGAGCGCTGAGCGCATAAAGTCATTTAAAATCTGTATGCACACATTTGTGATTTGAATTAAGCGCGTTCTGCCGGTATGCTGTTGGAGGGAGGAGGAGGAGGAGTTCGAACCGAGAGGTTTAGAGGTTGAGAGTCTGTCAGGGCAGACCTTAGTTGGGAGGATTTCTGTGCTTCTATTGGTCTTGAGGCTGGTCTAGGAGAGGCCAGGGTAGAGGATGAAGGTTGGGAGGGAGCTACAGGGACAGGTATATGTCGACTGGTCGACTGCGCTCCCCAAAGTTCAGGAATGTTTGTGTGCGCAGGTAGAGGTGCGCACATTAACAAAGACTGTGATTTCCCAGGTCTGTATCTTCCACTGTCAAGAATCAGGTTTGCCAGAAGTTCGCTTCGTTCCTCGTCCCGCTTCGCTCGCGCAACCGAGACGGGTCTACTCAGGGTAGAAGCAAGTAGAGACTGTGGGGGCGGGGACCTCCTGGTCTGACTAAAGGAGGGCGGAGCCGCCAACTGTGTAGCAAGGATGCTGTGTGTGTGTACTAGACTAGGACCAGGAGAAGATGAGTCCTGAGTTGATGAGGTGGGTTCATCTCCGTCCCGTCTTCCACTATGTCTGAACTTTTTGTGTGGTTTATATACCTCGTCCTGAAACATGGATACTCCACCCATGTTAAAGGGCTGTGGAGGTTGCTGTAGAGCACGTTTAAGCAGTGGATGCTGCTCCTCCAAGGATTCATGTCTCTCCTCCTCTCCACCCTGGGCTTCCTCCATACTGGAGCGAGGGCTGGAGCATACGCTCGTGTTTGTACTTTGTGAACCTTGTGCCTTTGGTGAATCAATTCCGGAATCACTTGGAGAATCCAGTTTTCTCGTGTTAAACGGACATTTCTGTTCTCCGGAGCTGGTTCCGAGTTCACCGTGAGATCTGGCTCCGGTTTCACTCAACCTGGACATTTCTCTTTTCCTGTTCCCTCCGACCTGGGACAGGGCCGGAGAGGTAAGTGCGTTTAGCAGGACGGATCCAACACCATGGATCTTTAAATCATTTACAGAAAGTTTACTGAAGGGTTCTGAGTTCCCAAGGGACTCACTGCTCGAGACTGAACCCATTGGAGACCTTCTCAGGTCCTCCATACTGAAAGAGTGACTGGTAGCGGGACTATCTGATGACTGTGGACTCCTGGACCCCGTAGAGTCCTGGTCCATGTTGTTGTCCTCCCAGTCCCTATCGTACATGACCTGGGAGTGGTTGGACTGGGGAGAGGTGGCGGCGTGGACCTCGTCCCTCGTAGCTTTGGCCTGATGTAGGAATTTCTCTGTATGAAGTGTGTTGAGGGTCCTGAGGTCGTGAATGATGGTGAGGAGCTCGGAGAACATGGTTGTGTTCTGTGGATGCTGGGGAACCAAGATATTCTGGAGAACATTCTTCAGCTTACTCTGCATTTTTCCAACCAGCTCCGGGTTCCGCAAACCAGGACGATCTAATCAAAATACAGAGTTAAAAAATGTTGAAATTTAAATAGAATAATTCATTTTTCAGATATTAAGAGGAATTTCCGTGTGTGTTTATAAATATCTAACTTATAGTAACTATACCTGCTGTAATAATGACGACGGAACAGAAGAGACCGATCTCGGCATCTGAGAGCCTAAATCTGTTGATCCTCTGCGCCAGCTCGAAAACGCTGTCCATGAGGAACTTGGCGTTTCCTGCTGGCATCGCAGATATCGTCTCCCGCCGTATCACATCCCCGTTCAAGCAAACCAAGCTCTGCAATAAAACAACGTTAAAACCGTTTCCACACATACACAGGCGGACTCGGCGGACAATATTATCAGTTACATTATTTATTATTAGAGGAGGGGGGGCGGGGGTGACCTTGCAATAGGAGAGGTTATTATGCGCTCAATAGATTCTTTATTGAAAGTTTATAAACGAACAGATGCTATACACAAATGCTTCTCTGTTTATAAAAGATGTAACAGCAGGGGGGGGGGNTTGAACAAGCCAGGACTACCGTACAACTGCCTTAAACTAAACAAGCCAGGATTACCGTACAACTGCCTGAAATTGAACAAGCCTGGACTACCGTACAACTGCCTGAAATTAAACAAGCCAGGATTACCATACAACTGCCTGAAACCGACCAAGGCAGGGCTATTGGCCAAGGCAGAAAAATAACCTAAGGGAATTTAAGCACTCTTGAAATTTCATCCGCTTTCTTGAAGTCGTGAGACTTAGCACAATAACAAATAAAATGTTATTCTAAATTGATATTTTTCTCACTTTTTCTCCTTAGATTTAGTGTAAATGAGGCGAGTATATATTATCAAGGATTAAACCTCTTTTTCTTAAAGTTTTAATCAATTCAAATTCAATTCAAACTTTGAAGAAGAAATTTTCAAGGATTCTTTGAAACAGAGCAAGGGGAGGGGGAGGGGGGGAACAAAGGAAGACTTTTTAAACAATATTTAATAAAGAAACTTAATCCTTCAAATTTAACTGACATTATTGAACCTTTTTGCGTTAAATATGAGCGTTATTAATCTTTCAGAGACAGTCAAGCTTAAAACAGAAGATATTGAACAAATATAAAAATATTCAAGTTACAACAATTTTTAAACGCAATCTCAAAAATGTAATAAATTGAAGTACAATAGCTACAGTATTGATTGTAATGAACTAATTGGTCCAAAATGTTAAGGAAAGGGGTTCAACCCCCCCCCCCTCCCCTGACTCTATAGTAGAAGGTCAAACAAGTATTTATATAAACCGAAGGCAACCCTATACATTAATCAGTGTAGAATACTCAAAGTGTTATGGTTTAGCGCAAAGAGGTTTTATTATAGGGGAGCAAAAACTTTCATAGGGCTTATAAACCTATCATAAGAAGAACTACGATTCTAATTGTAATTCTGTCTAATATTGCAACTACTCAAGGATAAAATTTCGCTTACTTGCATCATCTCGTTTTATTTATTGTTTTGTTTTTTAAGAGTTTTATTGCTAAATCAAGAATATGGATCAAGGTCCAAAATTTAATACTGGACTCGAAGGAGAGGAACCTGTATCCCTGATTTGTATCCTTGGATAGGTTTGAAGGTTCAGGAAGGTTTGAAGGTTTAGTATCTCAGGGTCCCGGAATCAACTATAGTATATCCTGCATAGTTCAGTTAGAATATATCTTTTA